ATAAAATTCCCAAACTATTTTAATATAATGTTGCACCTCTTATACATGGACCACCTCTATATATATATATAAATAAAATATACTATAGGCTACGTACCACCTACCTTAGCTTGCCCAATTTTTCAGAAACTTAATTCAAATAATGGAGGACATAAGAGCATGACACTAATTATTATTTTATATATATAGAGCTTAATATGTTTATTAATTAATGTCCCTTAGTTAACCAAGCCTACATAGGTAGGATAATATAATTATAAGTTCCTTTTCACCCTAGGCACTATTTTGTCTAGTAGCATTATTTCACAATCTACATCAAATAGGCTCTTTAATTTGATATAGCCACAACAGACGGAATGAAAGCCACCTTTTATTGAAAACTAACGACATGTCATCGTCAAATTAAAACACACACACACACACACACACACACACATATATATATATATATATATATATATATATATATATATATATGATTAAATTTGAGACCCTAGATCCATTACATAAGTCTAGCTAGTAAATTTCTTCATACAAATAGCAAACAATATATAGGAAGAGTCCTGATCCGTGAGTACATTAATAAAGAGTGCTAAAGTTTTTATCAATATTAGTAACTAATTGCAATTAGTTCAATGTCGATATAGGGCTTAGGGACATTTATAAAAAGTGTTATTTCTCAGTAAAAAATATATTTAGCAACAATTAAGCTATTGCCGTTAATTAATTGTTGTTAAAGTCCATACAACTAATATTTCCTCCACAAAATTAAAACTCATATTCAATACTCCCTCTATCATTATTTACTTGTCTATTTTTTACTTGACACGCCTATTAAGAAAATAATAATTGACAATTGACATAGTGAATTTACCATTTTATCCCTATTAATTGATAGAATTCCAAAATCAATGTATTCATTAAAGAGGATATACATAAAAAAAATATTGTCTTTTCTTGATTTGAAATAAAAATTCAAAATTGAACAAATAAAAATGGACAGAGGGAGTATAAGCTTTTCTTATTCTGGTTATCTGTTTTTTTCGTTAAAAATTAAATTACTATGTTTTGAGCAATTAATATTTCTCCTAACAACAAATGTACTTTAATTTGATTGCTGGAAATGATCTCAGAATGTGATGGCCTATATAAGCAATATTTTTAGAATGCGATGACCCTTTTGGTCATTAATTTATTCCACTCACTATTTCACCAAAGACCTCTAATACTCTTGCTACCATATCATGAGTCCCCACTATGTCTCATATATATACATCTTTGAAAAATTTGGCTCAATACCCATTTGGTCCAGGGTATTTAAAACATCCCTAAACTCGGCGTAAATAGTTAGTTTCATCCCTGAACTATTGACATTTTTAAAAATACATCTTTACTTGACTTACTGAACTTAAAAACATCCCGTTACTTGGTAGATCAGGTGTGTTTTAGTCAAGTAGAAAGGGTGTTTTTAAGGCTGTCAATAATTTGGGGATGAAATCATTAATCTGCGCCAAGTTTAGAAATATTTTCAATACTTCTCTCGGAGTAATACTTAACCTTGCACCATAAACTTAAAACTCTAAACTTAATTTGATAACATATATAAAATAAAAGACTTGGGGGAATCTTAATTAGTAGCTTAGTAAATCAACTATTTAGCCTTTCACTTTGTTAAAAAGAGTTCGATTCACCATCTTATAATTTCCTCTTCCATTGTAGAAATTAATTTGAGTTGTGTGATGCATGAGTAATAAAATTACAAGTTGAGATCATTGTCTAACCCTATATCATAATTATGATGATTGTATTAATTAAAATAAAAAATAAAAAAAATGTATTAGTTAAATGGTGTATATAGTTAGGTTGAGACTAGAGCATGCAAACTCTTTTTTGATTTCTCATTCTGTTTAGATGTGAACAGTCTTTGGAGATAATTGATCACTAGCTAGGTGGTCCTCTCTCTAGCTACCAACAATGCAATATTAATGAGCCACCCATATATACCTTTCCATTCACCTAAAATATATACTACATTTTCAGAATAAATTTTAAAATATAGTTCGATGCATTAACCTTTCGCTATATACGAAGTCAGAAAAAGGCATATAGTAAAAGTAGTAGTACGTAAAAGATAATAAAAAGAAGGCATTTGGTCCCCAATCTACTTATTGAATAGATTTATCCCATTCTCTCTGCACGTTGTCAGTCCACCAATTGCATTAATGATCACATTCTTTTTCCTTTCAGGTTTATCAAGCTGTTTATTTTTGGTATTTGTTTAATATATAGTATTTATTTTAGCTATATATTAGGTTTTTATAGAATTTAGATGTTACCATTTAATTTAGAAGCTGATGAGAGTGATAATTAGGGTTGTCCAAGTCAAATCGAATCGACGAGTCAAATTAAATTAACAACAAAAAAAAGTGATTTGTGGTTGGTTTGATATTGAAAAAAATAAATCGATCATTGTAGGTTTAATTTGGTGATAATAGAAATAAGTCAAATTGAATCTAAACTAAACCGATAATATATATATATATATGATTTTAATTTTTTATACACGATTTTTTTTATTATAATATGCTTTGTAAGTATTTTTTTTAAAAAATAATTTATAATTTTCAAATGTTTATATATATATATATATATATATATATATATATATATATATATATATATTATTTCATATTTGGGCCTCTAATATGATGAAAAAAATTGACATGTGTTGTGTTTTTTCGTGAGGTTTTTTATATGTTTTCCTAAGACATTGTCTTGAAGATGACATTATGTACATTTTTATTTTTTCAATTTTATTTACTTACGTGTCTTTGAAATGCCATTAAGCAATATAATCACATGATCAATTGAATAACCTTCAATTGAGAACTTCAAGTGCGGCATTAAATCACACGATCAAGGATACAATCTTCAATTTGATCTCTTTTTCAATCACAGTGTAATTGTACCAAAAAAAACTGACTAAAATCAAAATTGAAGGTTGGATTAATTTGATTTATAGATTTAATAAACTGACATAATTCATTTAGTTAATTTTTAATAAAAATCAAATTAAATCAACCTATGTACATCCCTAGTGATAACAACACGGATTGGAAGAAGCAAATAAAAAAGAATAATATATACTGAGATCAGTTATCTTGATATTCTTTCTTGTAGATGGTATAACATGCATTTCATAATTAAGTAGAAAAAGAATTTGACGGACCTTAAAGATATTTTGACATTTTCATTATGTTATTTCAAAATAACTTATCGCAGAATTAACGATTTATATTTGTAATTTTGTGGATTTATAGCTAGCAGGCCATTAAATGAGCAAATTCAACTGCAATATGAGAATGAAATAATGAGGTTTTTGTATTATTGTACGGTCTTTCCTGCAATGACAGCAAAAAAAATCCAAAACATTTTTTTGATCAGTACAAGATTATATATTGCTTGGAGGAAAACATTGTGTACTGGTTTCTGTGATATTTAACCAATGGTCTTTTGGTAATTAATTATTCAATGTACCCCCAAACCCTATTTAAATATTTTTTTCAAATTAAAGTAGTATAAGTACTATATATCTATGTACTTTGTCATTACATTATTGTTTACTTCTTTTCTGTACTTAAATTTGATGCAATTGAGCCGAGAGTTTGTCGGAAATAGCCACGAGGTAAGGTAATATAATGATAAGGTTTGAATACATTCTAATATTTTCTACTCAGAAACTCAGTAAATAAAATTACACCGCGTATATTGAGATATATATATCAACAAGAGTCTAAGAGAATTATAGGCAAGTGAGCCTGCCTCTTGTTTCGTGGGCCTAATGAGAAATGAAAATGAGCAACTTTCACATATAGCAAATACAAAATTCATATTTGTATGATATAGCAAAGTTTGCATAATTGCGCTCCATAACAAACATAAATATGTATATTTCGCTATACATATACAAAAGAAAGCAGTTGTATAATCTGCTTTGGTATACATATACAAAAAATTGTATAAAGTGAGAGAGGCGAGTGAGCGAGCGAGATCTGGGAGAGTGGCGAGCGAGATCTGGGAGAGGGGAGAGAGGGGAACGAAAATATATGTATATATACAATTTTCACGCATTTTATACATTTGCGTTTTTGTATAAAGTGAGAGAGCGAGATCTGGGAGAGTGGCGAGCGAGATCTGGGAGAGTGACGAGCGAGATCTTGGAGAGGGGAGAGATGGGAACGAAAATATATGTATATATACAATTTTCTCTCGCTTTATACAAACACAAACACATTTTATACAATTTGCATTTTTTGTATAAAATGAGAGAAGCGAGTGAGAGAGCGAGATCTGGGAGAGTGGCGAGCGAGATCTGGGAGAGGGGAGAGAGGGGAACGAAAATATATGTATATATACAATTTTCTCTCGCTTTACACAAACACAAACACACTTTATACACTTGCGTTTGTATAAAAAATGAGAGAGGCAGGGAGAGAACGAGAGTGGCGAGCGAGATTCACCAGGAGAGAGGTGCATGAAATAGCAACAGTTTGCTATGAGGTACAATTAAATCAAACTATATTTATAGCATTTAATTTGAATTAATAGTTTGCTATTATATACAATTTTCCGAATGAAAAATATACCACTCCACTAGTAGTCTCAACTGTTATAATGAAGATCCATCTGTAAAATAATAAATATCTACACATGGAAGTGTATTTTAATTTTTTTATATATAATATATGGTGACGAGGACGAGGACAAGGACAAGTCAGATTATTGGAATGGAAGGAGAGAGTAAAAAAGAAAGTATAATTGCCTAACTTGATAAGATTCCAGGAAATAGACGCTACCACATATGATATGAAAGGCATCATCTTCTCTTTAGTTGCTTGTGTTTTTGTGTGAGACCTCTTTCAAAATCTTAACCCTAGAATTATTAATTTTGTCTATATTTTTTTCGTTTGAAAACATCAATTCATTCATCTCTAGATCTATTTGTACCTTCGATCATGAATTTCTTTGGTAGTGTTGTACGAGAAGAAGCATCTTCTTCGTCTTATCACAACCAACAACTTAAAAGGCCTAGCAGTACTACGGAGCTTATGTTGATGGATTCATCTACTTCTGATGCAATGATTGAAAGAGAACATATGTTCGATAAGGTAGTTACTCCTAGTGATGTTGGTAAGCTCAATCGTTTAGTCATACCCAAACAACACGCGGAGAAGTATTTCCCTCTTGATTCCTCTAGTAACGATAAGGGGGGACTTCTATTGAATTTTGAAGATAGTAATGGGAAGCCATGGAGGTTTAGGTATTCGTATTGGAATAGTAGTCAGAGTTATGTAATGACTAAAGGATGGAGCCGTTTTGTGAAGGAGAAGAAACTTGATGCTGGTGATATTGTTTCATTTCAGCGTGGTGCTGGTGAATTGTCCAAGCATCGTCTTTTCATTGACTGGCGTCGCCGTCCTCATGAAAACATAAACAATCAATTTATGATGCCGCACCACTTTTCTGATGGGCGGCTCTTTCATTTACAGTCTTATTACCCAACAACATTTTCGAGTAATTTGTTGCTAGAAGGAGGCAGCAATATCGGTCAGCCTCCTAATTCTTATAATCCACATAGTTACATGTATGGAATTGGTAATCTTTCTTACAATATGAGTAATAGCACTGTGATAAATGCAAACCCTTTGAATAATGAGATAAGATGGGGAGGTTGTAGTAATATTAGTAACTATGTGGAGCCAAGGGTGTTCGATTCGGTCCCAGTGGTTCAAGGTAAAGTGGCAGCAAAGCGATTCAGGCTGTTTGGAGTAAATATGGACTGTCCCATGGATCACCCAGACACTTCCTCTATCCCAACAACAACAACGACTTATTCTCATTTGAACAACAACTCGATACCCTCTGAAGAATCATCTGAAAAAGGCAAGTCCTTCGATTTGGATATTTGATCTTCCATTACTATATTTCTACCAGAATCAATGTGCATATACTATGTTTCCCCCCTCACCAACGCGGAAGGGGTGAAATTACAAGGAAGGAAGTAAAAAAAACATTAAAAGTATACATACAGAGATCAATTGAAGGGGTTCTTGGTTAATGTCAAATTATGCAATGGAGGACGAAAATAGCACATTCAGTGTAATTTATTTCGACACAGATGTTCATGGGAAGTCTTTGAGATAGAAAGAGTACTAATTTTCAGGTTCAATTTGTGTATATTTAATACTATACTCTACCTAATACTATTGCTATATCCTCTCAATGTTGTTTTTATTTTTATTTTTAATTTCTCAAGAGCAAGACATGATTTGACCCTCATCTAACTTAGTAATGCCGCAGTTTTCCTTGACATTTTACTGTGGGATTTCACAGAATATGTTGTTGTTGTGAAAAATTCAACACTCTCAATCACTCCTTTTTTTGTCTTGAAGACAGGTGGAGGAAATGATTGTTCTTTTACTTGATCACTCTTCTTTCTTTCTCATTCAATGAATCTCTTTGAATAAGCGAACTTCTACCAACTTGACTTACATTTTGACTTAGGTATACAAAGGTAAATTAGGTATTCTTCTATCATGTACCTAGTCTATTCTTAATTTAGTTATTTTCTTCCCTCTTTAATTCCTAGTACATGAATAATAGATGCATCTTAATATATACTATTAATTTTCTAATAGATGAACTTTCTTCTTTTCTTCTTCCAAAACAAGGAATAATACATTTTAACAATCCCCCTTTAATCTTGTGGTTGAAATTTCACACAATATTCTTCTATAATTCTCAATTCTTTCTTTCTCAACTTTTTAATGATTGCATATCAACATTCTTCTTAAGAGTTCCAATGATTATCTTCTCAGAAAATGTTTTCTTCTTGAGATTGCGGTTATCATTTTTACTGATTGTGTTTAAGTATGAGTCGCGCATCATTAGTTTCATCAAAAATTTTCTCTTCACCATTGCTCTCCTCTTTTGGAGATTTCTACGTAGCATGATGAATTTTTCTTCATTATTTTCTCAATTATTATATTTATTAAATTCCCATAAGTCCTGCAAGAGAACCTTGCTCTAGTAATCACATTTTCTCTTCAAGATAAGTAGATGAAATAATTCTTCTTTACTTCACTCTACTTGCTTTCTCAATTCATGACTCTCTGCGAATACAAGCAGACTTCTATCGGCTTATCTTACCGTTTGGCTTATAGTATTCTTCTAAGTTGTATCTAGTCTATATATATATAGTGCATATATCTTAATTTAATTATTTTATTCCCCTCTTTTCTAGTACACAAATAATAATTATATCTTAATTATACATCAGACAAATCAACAACTTTTTTTCTTCCTTCAAAACATGATTCACATTTCAATTGTAGTTGGAGGTAAAGGAAGGGATAATGAGGAGGAGATTATAAGGTGAGAAACTGAACTTTCATCAATAATGTGAAAATTTAGATATAATCAATCAATTGAATTACTGAGATTCGGCATGAAAGTTACTTGGTGAAAGTTGGAAGTTATATTGTTGTCGCAACTTTGTTGTTCGTGTTTGTGTGCGCCAGTATCAGCTTTAAGCCACATACATGCCTTCCTCCTGAAATGATTGGTCCACTTTAATCATCAATCCATTGACTCTGAATGAACTCCTCTAGGCATTATATGAAAGTATTATTATCTCCATTTAATATTAGATGATCATTTTTGTATTTTATATGGTGATTAACAAATTATTAATAGATTGATCAAGTTTATTATTTTGTCCTTTGTTTATATCAATGCACATAAAAATAAGTCATATATAATGCATAATTATGCCCTTTAACTTTGTTTCAGCTGTCATTTATGCCCTCCAATTTTGGGTGTGCACAACTAAACATTTCAACTTACATAAAATTGAACAAGTATATACACACGTCTTATGTAGCATAATACACGTAGGGCATCAAATTGTCACGTAGGACGTCACATAAGACGAATGTGTTTATTTGTTCAATTTTATATAAGTTTAAGTGTCTACTTGTGCACACTCAAAGTTGGAGGATATAGTTGTCAACTGAAACTAAGTTAAATGACATATTTATGTATTATGCCTGATAAATATAAGTTAGAAAAACTATACATAGAGTAGGGTAATAGCTAGCATTGTTCACATTCCAAAGATCATATTAATTCATATAGGGGTAAAGTAGAAAAAGAATAAGTGATCAAATAATATGAGATAACTAACTTTTAATAAGATGTCCATCTAAAATGGGACGGTGGACACAATTCTCTTATAAAAAAAGCTTTATTAAAGAAAACAAAAATGCCTAACTTCACGTGGGTTTTCTTTAATTTTTTCCTCCAAATTAAAAATAACGGAAAATATATTAAACATGGTACTCCCTCCATTCCATATTAATTGAAATTTTGAGGTGTTTCACACCTTTTAAGAAAAGTAGATTAAGACATAAATTGAACATAGTTTTCCATTTCTATCCTTATTAATTATTGTCAAATTTATTGAAGTCATCACATTGAAAATCCAAATGAAAATTGGAAGAACACTGTAAAAGTAATCTTGAAAACTGAACAATTAAGTTAATTTGGAAAATGAAAAATGCCTCAAAAATTCAATTAATATGGAATGGAGGGAGTATCGAACATTCCCACACTAATTTACACCCCGTATACCAGGAGTCACCCTTATATATATCGGAAAAAAACTCGGGTTGCCTTTTTATGTGCACACTTTTTTGAAATTTAAAAAAGATCCATTATTTATTAAACTTTTTGATGAGATAGTCATACACTTCAATATGATATCAGAATAGACAAAGATCTCACCGTCATCCATATCAAAAAAAATATTCCACTTAGACACTTCAATTATCACACTTCAACGTAACTCATATATTCTCAATAATTGATAGTCTAATACATATCAACCAACCTTTCACCACATTTTTAAAGAAAATTATCATGTTCCTCTATCTTACTCTCGGACTGTCATGCCCACTTCATTTTCATGTAATTAATTCATTAGATTGAATAAAAATGACTAGACAAATAAAGTAAAAGATTGATTTATTTTTACTTAAATATAATTCATTTTACTTGATCATGTCCTAATGTGTCATGAAACAATGTTTATTCACTATGGTCATACATGTACATTCCTTAAAAAAAAAAATACAAATTCTAGCTACACACACCCTTTACATAAACAATATAATGCTCCCTACTACAATTTGAGATCCCAACTCTATAAAAGCTTTTTATTACATAATATTAATTATTTTAAATATAGAAGTATGTTATTATTTCTGTTAGAATGTAACAGACTAAAAAGAAAATAGCATGACAGGACGAAATTAAAGAAGTATTTGATCTCAATTAGGATGTGAACTAATTTTGTGTACTGATCAGACGTATGCATATGCAAGGTCCACCCTAGCTAGTCTTACTTTAATTAATGGAGTATAGGAATAGGATGTATAGGAGTACGTAGTGATTACATAAATATGAATCATAGGTTTTCCAACTTCATGCCTAATTTGAAGCAAAGCCAGCTAACCAGATTAAATAAAAAGTACATAGATATTATTGCTGACATGGCATACATGATATATATAAAGAGAAAAATTATACTCCCTCCGTCCCTATTTACTTGTCCATATTTCCTTTTTTAGTTGTCCCTATTTAGTTGTCCATTTTGACAAATCAAGAAAGGACAACAAATTTTTTCCTATTATACCCTTATTTACACTTCTTGAAAATTGTAAAAGTGTATGTTGTTTTCCTCCAATTTATTTCACTTTAATTCAAATAAGTGGTTGTAATTTTGAAGTGAAAAGTTGTCATAAGGGTAAAATTGTAACTTCACTGTGCTAATCATTGTTGCCTTAATCTGTGTGCCATTTCTAAAGTGGACAACTAAAAAGGGACGGAGGGAGTATTGAAAACATCTTTGAACATGGCGCAAATTATTAGTTTCGTCTCCAAACAATTGACAATCTTAAAAATACTCATGTATTTGATTAACTAGACTTAGATACACCCCCGACTTGCCACATGACATAACAAGTTGTTTCAAACTCTTGTAGGAGCATGAAACTCTTAATAAAAAATCGAGATAAGTTTTAAAACACCCTAAATTTGATAGAAATTTAGGGATATATTTCACTCATATTGCAAAATTGAGAGTGTATTTAAGGTGATTTAGTCAAGCAAATGAGTGTATTTAAGACTGTCAATAGTTCAGAAATAATTAAAACAACTCCCTCCGTTTAAATAATAATGATCTAGTTTGACTTGTCACGAAGTTTAAAAAAATAAAGATGACTTTTTAATCTTATAGTCCTAAATTAAAGTTATGATAAAAGTACCAAAATACCTTTTAATTTTATGGTTTTAAACATGTCACATGAAAAGTTGAAACTAAAATATTACCAAAAAAAAAAATGGATCATTTTTTTTTAAACCGACCAAAATAAAAAACAGATCATTCTTTTTTAAACGGAGCGAGTAATAATTTGCACCGCTTCTCTCATGTATAAACTATAGAGTGAAGGCAAAAAGCTAGCTACTTACAACTACCGTACTTGGGTGGCAGTGAGTTTGCTGGTTTATGAGCAGACAAACATAATAAATTAACTTTATTAATCATACTTCAAAATTCTAAATCTAATTATTACACTATATTTTATATAATTATAAAAAAGATAGTACTATAAAGAAAGGTAATAAATCTCTTTTATTTGCTAAAAAATGAATATATATCACATTGCAACAAATCCTAAAAACAATCAAAACTCAAAGCAATTATATTTTTATATATAATACTCCCTCTGTTCACTTTTAATTGTCATATTGCGTTTTTTTAAAGTTAATTTGATAAATTTTTAAATTAAATTAAATTACATTAATTTGATATTATAAAAAATTTAAATATTCAAAAATTATACAAAAAGTACTATAAATTTCAATCATTTGCATATCAATATAATGAAAAAAAATACATAATATAAAATATTAATCAAATTTACTATCCTTTAATTATAAAAAATAATTATAATAAGTAAAAATAGACGGAGATAGTATAATAGTACGAGCAATGATAGTAACTGCTCAAGCTACGTTCCATATATAACAGCCGTAAAGATAAAGACGAATTATCATATTATGGTCCAAAGATAATTGGTGGGCCTGGCTACCTAGCTACAATAGTGATCATCATCACATACACATACACAAACCCAATTATTTCTTCAAATTTTAATTCATTGAAAGCACGCCGACCATTAAAAGTTTATCTCCAACTATAATTATTAATGCTTATAAAAAGTTATCAAAAACACACGTCGTTTCAGTTTCACACTTAAACTATTAAAAATATTTAAAAGAAATGGTGATTTGGATTATATATATAGTGCCGAGCCATGATTTTCATTGAGAAGGTTAAGAAAAAACATGATAAATAGTGCTGACAAATAAGCTAAAACATTGAAAATATTGCTAGCCAGCTTCAAACCCACGCGCCTACTAGTTTCCGAACCCCGGCCATAGCCACTGAATAAACCCTTTACTTGTGATGAAGGGGTTCAAATATTAAATATAAAGACATAAAATACATATTTGATCATATATATATATACCGTATAATTGAACCCCTGAACTTCATGTAGATCCGCCCATGGTTATATATGAAAAGGCCAAACACACCTAAGTGTGTCCTACATACACACAGTTGATCCAGACAAGATAGAGGTGTGTTTTTCAAACTAACGTATGATGATAGTAATTCAAATGTGTTTTTGACATTTAACTCGAAATTTTATCTATAAGTACCTAAAAATTATAGACCTCCTAAAATCTACTAAAAACCGATCGAGCTAGCTAGTTAAAATAGAAAAGAAAGAGCATATATATATATATATATAGTAGCACAAAGGAGGGAAAAAGGGTAGAAACAGAAGAGAAAAAAGGTGGTGATCTGAGTTATATATATGGAAATAGTACAGACTGGTTGGAGTTGGAGACTGTACAGACAGGAAGTGAAGTAGACACAACATAAAAGAGTTGTAAAGAAATGATATACCAGATCCCACCATAACAATTACTACAACTCTTTCAAGTCTTAACCCTAGAACCTTTAATTTTTCTAGATCTATCTATCTATACATTTGATGATGAACTTGTTTAATAGTACGATACGAGAAGAAGCATCGGCCTCATCTTATCACAACCAACAACATAAACGGCCTAGCAGCAGTACGGAGCTTATGTTGATGGATTCATCTACTTCTGATGCAATGATTGAAAGAGAACATATGTTCGATAAGGTAGTTACTCCTAGTGATGTTGGTAAGCTTAATCGCTTAGTCATACCCAAACAACACGCGGAGAAGTATTTCCCTCTCGATTCATCTAGTAACGATAAGGGGGGATTACTATTGAATTTTGAAGATAGTAATGGGAAGCCATGGAGGTTTAGGTATTCGTATTGGAATAGTAGTCAGAGTTATGTAATGACTAAAGGATGGAGCCGTTTTGTGAAGGAGAAGAAACTTGATGCTGGTGATATTGTTTCATTTCAGCGTGGAGCTGGTGAGTTGTCCAAGCATCGTCTTTTTATTGACTGGCGTCGTCGTCCTCATGAAAACATAAACAATCAATTTATGATACCGCACCAATTTTCTGATGGGCGGATCTTTCCTTTACAGTCTTACCCAACAACATTTTCGCGTAATTTGCTGGTGGAAGGAGGAAGTAATTATTATAATCCTTCACATAGCTATTACATGTATGGAATTGGTAATTCCAGTACTAGTCCTTACTATAGTTTCAACAACAATACTAGTGTGGCGGTAAATGCAATACCTTTCGATAATAATCTGATGAAATCAACTGCTCCTCAAGGTTATACTAGCGTTGTGGAGCCAAGGGTGTTCAATTCGGTACCAGTGGTTCAAGGTAAAGTGACAGCAAAGCGATTCAGGCTGTTTGGAGTAAATATGGACTACCCAATGCCCTCTGAAGAATCATCGGAAAAAGGCAAGTCATCCATGTCCTTTGATTTGGATATCTGATATAGCAGAATGCATATACTACTAGCTATTTATGAAGGGACCAAATTACTATTATGGAAGGAAGAAACATTATTCATAATGTTCATGGGAAGTCTTTGAGATAGAAAGATTAGTAATTTCAGGTTCAATTTGTGTATATTTATCAGTACTTTAGACAATTGAGGTTGTTGAGGATGAAATACTATTGCTAGATCCTCTGAATGCTAGTTATTTTATGCTTGATTTCTCAAATGCAGGCCCTGCAGGGCAGGTTTTGACCCTGATCTAACTAATTAGTATATAATGCATCAGTTTTCCCTCACTTTTTTTTATAAACATAGTCTGTTGACATACAAAATCATAGGGGATTGAGGAGACTGTGTTAGAGTGGATAAAAGTCTCACATTGGTTAGGTAATGGATTAGTGGTCTGCTTATATGGATTTGGATAATCCTCCCCTCGAGCTAGCTTTTGGGGATTGAGTTATAAGACCTATGTGTCATATCTTTACAGACTGAGAACCTTAATTAATTCTCTTTGTTTTGATAATCTAATAAAGATGGATCACTCACTGATTTCATTTTTTCTTCTTGGACCAATACTTGATTACTTTTCTTCTTACTGATTATCAAGTTCAAGTCTTTGCAAATCTTTCTTCTTTAATTTTGCGCTCTTTCTCCTCTAATCATCTACCTGATCAATGAGGCTTAGCTTGTTTTACGTATATATGTCCCTAGTCAACTTCTTCTATTTCATCTTCTACTTGGTCTCCCTTAGTCGAAACTTGACAGCTCAGCCTCATATTGATCAGGCTGATGAACAATGATTGTCATGGAAGGAATGGATCAAAGTTGAGGTTTTTTCAAAAAAAAAATTAGACTGTGGGAATTATACTAGGTATGTTATTGTTGTTGTTGTTGTTGTTAACTCAATGAGCTTGGAGGAACACGTTCAATCACTCATTTCTTCTTGAAGACAAGTGGAGGGAATGATTCTTCATTCTGCTTGGTTTCGTAATCAATGATTCTCTTAGAATATAAGTGGACTTCTATCAACTTGACTTACCTTTTGGTTATGTACATATATAGGTAAATTATGTATTCTTCTATCATTTACATGTACCAATCGAGTGATCTAGTACATTTATCTTATTTTAGGTCTTTTCTTGATCCCCTCTTTCCCAGTACATGAATAATACATGTACCTTAATAATAATTTTCTAATACATGACTGAGAAAGTTCATGTATCACATATATCAACAACGTTTTTCTTTTGATCAAAGACAAGGTCCTCATCTTCTTAAAAGAATTACAAAGTGGAGATCGGATCTTTACCAAGGTGAAAGTTCAAAAAGTCAACTAATCCCGCTATGGTTGTTGAAATAAGATGGATTAATTTTGTCTTTTATTGGATTTGGAAGTTATATTGTTATCACAGCTTCATTGTTCATGTTTGTGTACATGGTCTTCTCCTGAAATGGTCTATTGTTTGAAATTATTCTACCAAAACCTTACAATTATTATATAAAAAAAACTTTATTAAAGAAAACAAAAATGTGTAATTTTAAATTCTACATAGGTTGTCTCATTCCAAATGTTTGTTCCATCATTCAGCTGCTTGGTTAATTTCCCTCGATAGAACACCTCATCCTTAGAAACTGATCTTCTTGTAAGGTTCGTTTGATAGAGTGTATTAGCAAAAATAGTGTATTTATTAACTTTGTGCATTAATACATGTTATACGGTATACTTTTTCATGCACGATTGTGTATTAAGGTATGTATTACTAATACCATGAATTTCTAGGTATTAATAACACAAGGGGTTTAATGCATGCATTAGCATGGTTAAAGACTCCATTGTTTCTCAAAAAAATAACAATTTTTAATTTCCACTATAATTGTAAAAAGTATAATCTTTGTAAATAAATATTTATTTATTTTTTTGTTTTTTTTTCAAAATAAATAAATATTATTTATGCAATACATGTAAATTTTAATACACCAAACCAAATAATACATAAGAAATTATCTATATATAATTAATATATATAAGCATTACTAATATATATATATAGTATTTTGTCCCAATTTATGTGACACTTTTCATTTTTCGCGAGTCAAACAATTTAAATTTGATCGAAAATTTGAGCATGGAATTTTCAAAAAAAATTTAAATGAAATATATATATTTGTAAACTATGTAAAAATATTATAAGTCACAATAATTGATAATTCAAAAGATCTATAAAAAAAACTTACGGTCAAAAATAGACTTGTTTGAATCTCAAAATTTGAAAAGTTTCATATAAAATGAAATAAAAAGAACATATTTTAACATTATTTGTATACGCTCTGTCAAACTAACCCTGACATACATAATGAGTACACATGCATATGAAAGGTCCACCCTAGCTAGTGTAACTTTAATTAATGTAGTATACTTATAGGAGTCATGTATAGGTTTTCCAACTTTTTGAAGCAAAGCAAAGCTAGGTAACCATATTATTAATATTATTGGTGAAATGGCACAAAGTGATTGCAATTAATTAGAAGGTAGCTAGTTAATGTACTTGTTGTGGCAGTGAGTATGCTGGTTTCTGGCCAGACAAACATAACGAAACCTTTTCTGCTCAACTTTCACGTTTTAGTTTGTGAAAACTTCTATATACATATATATATGCAGCCTTATTACACTAACTTTTCTTCTCATCACTCATATAAATGTAGCTATATTTTTATTTAAATAAAATAAATAGCCAGCACAGTAGAAAGTATACACAGATTATATGTACAATATAGATTGTCAAAAGTCATAGAAAATATATATTGATTATATAATATAGCTTATATATATGTGTATACACAGACTATTCAATCTCGATGAATTCAAAATCACTTTTAGATAGTCCTAAATTGTATAATACATGAAATCATCTCGATATTTCAAGCCTTCTAATTTATAATTCGCTCGAAATGATTCATGTTTGCGGGGTATGTCGAATTTTAAAGAGAAAAACGCAGCATATCGTAGAAGAAGTACAAAGAAGAAGAACACAGAATAGATGTCTTCAAAATTTTGTAAAAAAAAAAGAATCATATGCAGAAATTTTTTAACTGGCTGAATAAATAAAAGGCCTTTATTTTTGTAAATAAGGGCTATATGACCTAATTATCCCATTAAATTAAGGAAGGGGGCATAAAACCAATCTTCCATCCACTTAACTATTAAAACTATCACTTAATAATACATTAAGTTGTGACTAGTGTGATTGTTTTAAAGTAATGAGCTAAATTTGATCATTGTTAGAAAGGGGCCATTGTTTCTAAAGTAAGAAAGTGACCCTAGCTAGAAAGTGGCCATTGTTTTAAGTTTTATGGTTTTCTTTTTTATTTGGTTCTGATCCGACTAAATGTTGATCGCATTGCAAGACCTATTTAGAGGTGAAGATTTACGCTTTCAACAAGACTTTCTCCATACTCATAGCTCGAGCCCAAAACTTTTGATTAATGATGAAAAAGTCCCACCGCCACACTACAATCCATATTCATTAAGTTTTATGTCTAAAGATGCAATAATATAGGCACGTCAAAATGAGCTATGAATAATTTAGATAATTTATAGGCGTGAAAAGGACAAAAGACTTATAGTCGAATAAGTCATAAGTAGATTATATCTTTGTTAAGTCAATTTTGATTGGAGAAAAAAGCCAAAAAAAAATAAATAAAAGATTTTTGTTTTGAGTACTATTTTAACTTTTTTGTGCATTGCCAGTACGTATATGATTTTTTACATCATCATATCATAATAAGCTGCAATAAGAAAAGTGACTTTCTATAGCAAGCTTACTTAACTAACTTTAAAAACTAATTGTTATATTTAGAAGTTTTAATGATTTAACAAATTATAGAGAAATAGTAATTAATAAAAGGATATGGTCCTTTGCGTTCTCATCATACATAATAAGTCAATGGAGTGCGGCGGTAAAGTTGTAGAAACTATTATGGTAGGAGCAGTCCTCGATCAATGACAAACTACTAGGTTATTTTGTCTTTTTATACATTTGATATGTTGACAAGAAATATTCTAGTTTTTGCAATAAAAAATATTCAAAGCAAAAAACCATTCTCAAAGAAGAACTACTCTCATATGCAACAAGGACCTTGATAGAGTGTTGCAGCGTCTTAAATTGTTAGTTGAGTCGAGTGTCTTGTGCTCTCATATTGTAGATTTATTCCTAAGCTGTAAAGAATAATAGATCGCACAAGATCATTTTATTATGAGTTGAGTTGTTGTCTAGAATTAGCCGCCTTGTGGTTGTTGAAGTCTATGTTAACTAAAGGTGGTTGATATGGTGGGCAATAGGGTTATTGCTTTGTATTTTGTAATAGAGGTGTTACAAGTTGTGTTGGATTAAAAATTTAATCCTTTGTGATTATTGAAGTCTGTATCCACAAATTGCTTGAAGTTTTGAGAAATCATGTGTAATAGGTTGTCATTTTTTCCTTCCTTGAGCAAGGAAATTTCTAGGTAAACATTTGTATTCTTTACCCAAATCATTTGATTGGATTGTAGAACAAGGGCAGTAGGGCACACACTAGCACAACCTGACTACCTAGTATTAATATGTAGTCACTTGGAGACAAAACAACCAAACTCAAACCAATTATATTTAGGAAAAACTAAATAAATTAAACCTATTAGGAAAAATAAGAAATAGCCGCTCATAAATAGTTTTTCTTTTCGGGGTACAAGTATTATTTTCCCTTATATTTATATGATACTATAATAGTGTGAGCACTGATAGTAACCATTCGAGCTACGTTCCATAGCTATAACAGCCGTAAAGATAGAGACCAATTATGGTCCAAACTTAATTGGCTGGCCCAATAGTGATTATCATGACACACACAAACCCAATCCTTCCATATACTCCCTCTATCCATTATTAATTGTCTTATTACGCTTTTCAAAAATCAATTTAGCTAATTTTCAAAGTTAAATTAGATTATATTAATTCAATATTTTAAACAAAAAAATTAAATATTCAAAAACTATACAAAAAATACTATAAGTTGTAGTTTTTTGCATTTCAATATAATGAAAAAAATACATCGTAAAATGTTAGTCATGACAATAAAAGTGGACGGAGGGAATATATATTACAGTAACCTATGTTGCAGTGTTAGTATGTGTTATGCACTGTAAATGGAGGAATTTTCAAATATAGTAAAGACTTGAAACATAATGAGGCAAAATAACTAATATTTGGCTAATTACACAACGTAGCTAACCATTCGGATTAAAAACTAGCTGCGAATCAAAATTAGTTATAACTATAACTATGTTAAACAAAACACTAATAGATGTTTACTTAGTTACATAATTTCTTTCAAATAGAATCTTACTTTTACAAGAGCCATGCATACATCTAAAAGTTTGTTGATGTATTTATTTTTGGTTGTGTAATAGATAAATGCATAAATTACTCACAGCAGTCACCAAGTACACATCACAAGATGTCAAAAAAAGAAGAAGAAGGAAATAAGGCCAACTTATCAGCTAGCACCTAGTAGCATAAAGACAAAAAATAAACACTTTAGAGCGACAGAAAGTTATTGTGTTCCAAGTAATTTTGGGAATAGAGACTGCTGTATATAGATATCAAAGCTGCAAAACAAGATGTCAAACTGCACACTGCATCCTCAAACGAAATAAATACAATGGGTAAAGTAAGTTCTCAATCAGAAATTGTCATCTAAAAATACTGGCTCCAACAAATCTTTCAAGTTGCAGGCTGGATAAATTTCAATGTTTCAGGGTGTATGAACAATTATACCGTAGGATGATATCCAAGACTGACATTTCCTTCTAACCGGTGAACTACACTTCTGATACTCCGATCATGGCAGAACTCAAGGGCAAGCCGAAGAGCTGTTCCGAGTCCCAGCACAACTATTACCCCTGCACATTGCTTCTTGCTTTCAACATGACAAGGGACACTTAAACAGTATCTAGTGTCTAAGTTTTGACAACAAACGATTAATGAAAAGATCAAGGGCATGTACCGATTATGATGTTCACAGGCAATGCAGAGACTCCAAGCGTAATGGATATTAACACATCCAGAAACAGACCGCCAATGAGGATACAAAATGCAACCCAAAGTGGATTAAGGCAACCCTGTACAAACTGACTGTTTTAGAAGTAATACACAAGACATCGACTTCAAAGCAGGAGCTTGGGAAAGTGTAATGCTCCTTACTCTATCCCGCTCTTGGGAAATATCCGTCCCCCTAAAAGAAGGATCGACTCTCCAAATCCAGTAACTTGTCTGCCATCCATAAAATGATGCAGTCAAAACATAATTATAAGAGTATCTATCCCAATAATTTGTAGCTGACTAATCTTTGAGATTATATCTTTTTCTGAATCATATATATATATATATATATATATAAAAGAAGATTTTGTTTCATAAAATAATAAATGTCACGGTGTTCCACCAGATCTCCATATGAATTTGAACTTGGCTCAGAGATTTTAATCAAATATTTGGAACAAGAGACTACCTAAATAAGATCCACCAGTTAATTTTATACTCTGACATAGTAGAATCTGGATCCACATTATTTGTTTGATTTCTAACCTGATGTAACAAGTTAAATCAGTAGAATATTTGTCACAGAAAAAGGAGGGCATGTCGCATATGTTGACGCCACAAAAACCAAAAAGGGAATAAATGAAATTACTATTTATGGATATGGACATTGAGCCTAACTCAAAAGTGTAAAAATCACCCAAAACAGTCAATATTTTCTCTAGAACATAGGCTCTCCGTGTACTTTCGAAAGCTGGTCCTCAATGGTCACTGTGAACCTCAATTGTGAAGAAAAAGCAGGAAAAAGAACCTATGCAACAGCTATTAACCTCTCTACGAGTACAAATTCAACCAAATCTACATGTTCGAAATCAGTGGTTGCCAAGTAGACCACTCATAATGATTACTTTGGAATCATGGCCGAAGAATGGTCGACTAACAATCTTAGGCCCCAAACTGAAAGACTTGGATCCAAATTCAAAGAACTCTTCCCGATTAAGGTGTCTGCTAAAATTGAAGTCTTCAATAACTACAAAGTGTTTCTTGATTTTATCAATGAAGATGATTTCAATATGGCGTGGTTCAAGAGAATGATCAAAATCGACAGATTGCAAATGAGGTTGCAGAAGTGGTTTCCGGATTTCAAACAGTTCCTGTGTGGGTTCAGCTTACAGGCATCCCCTGGTGGTTTCCTTAAATGGACTTAGGCAATCCTCCCCTCATGAGCTAGCTTTTGGGGTTGAGTTAGACCCAGGTGCCATATCTTTACAATAACATATTGAATTGTAGAGTGTTGGAAAGGAATAGAGACAAGGATTCTAAAGATGCTCGAAAAATCAACAAGGGAATGGATGTTATGCAGACTGAAGAGGGATCCGATTGAATAAAAAATTTGGAACAAAGTGAAGATAAAGGAGAGGTGAAAGACAATGAAAGTTCAGGCAAAATTGGGCAGATTTCTGAGGCAGTGAATGAGAATGAAAATGGGTATGGACAGAAGCTTGAGGCTGAGATCACAAAAGATGTGGACATAGAAAAGAAAAAGTTCACAAGGTCATGATAGCTAGGCAGAATATCAGCAAGAAGAAAAAACCAGAAAACAGAAGCGGCCTATGAAGAAAAGCAATGTTGTTTTTCAGCAAGCTATAACTCATTTAAGAAACAAGTCTAGGACTGCAAGATATTAGAAGCTAATTCTTCCCAGTCTAAGGGTAAGGATGACACACAGCAGGATCAAAATGACGTTAATGCAGTTAACATCTCTGCTGATCAGAACAAGGTTATGGACTGAGCAGTCATGTTGGTGAAGTCAATGCCAGAACTGCTAAGGTAAGGACACAACAGAACAAGGAAAAATAAGAACAAAGAGAATAGCAAGAACAGAAGATCAGGAAGCAACTCTAGGCATGCAAACTCTGGAAAGTCTGATAATAGTGAGAATAACTTAGTGAACACTTAGCAATCTGATAGTGAAGGCACTGGTCAACAACACAAAATTCAGGATGATTTCAATAATATTAATCTATCTACAAGTCTTACTTCAGAACTGAAAAACCAAGAGCCTATACAGTTGGTTGTCAACCTTAGGTGCGATCCAACTACTGAGAAGTCTGTTGAGCAATATGAGGAACAAAATGTGAAGCCTAATTACCTGATGACTGTATACAAGACAACTTCATGCACAATGAGGAGACCAAATAACTGGAATCCAGAATTGATTTTTTTTCTAAAGAAGAAGCAGATCATATCTCGGGACCAAGACAGGGGATACAACAACAAAACAAATGACATACAAGGAAAAGGGGGAAGAAGCAGACAAAGAAAGAAAGGCAACAAGCTGTAAAAAAGGCACACTGCCTCGTCAAAAAGGGGAGGACAACAGACAAAATAACACTAGCCAACTACAAAACCATCTAAGGGAGGCAGGTGCAGTCAAATGCTCAATTTTAAAAACCTATAAGCTGAAAGGCCAGAAGGATATTCATGCTTAAAAAGACCAGTCTAGCTTGATGGCTGAAGCACCCAGCAATAACTTCAAAAAGAGCGAAAAGCATGCATTACTAATGTTTAAAGAGATCCAATGTCCAGCACTCATCCAAAACCATTGCTATCCAAACAAAGATAGATACTTACAGGTGCATGAGCCTCTGGAGATGCCACATTTACAGCTACTTGCCTGCATAAAATGGCAAACCTACATCCATATACTGTCTGATAGGGAAAAAAAAGATTAAAATGCACTTAGTCTACCACTTACTGGCATATTTCACATTTATTTGAACCTCTAGTACTAAACCATGTATCTATGCATGTCCGATGTGCTTTTGCCAATCCACCACGACAGTGGCATCCAAGATCGATCAACTCTTCCTCCTTTTCCTCTTGACATACTCTGGAAGAACATCACAGAACACAAATTTCAAAGAATTTCAATACTGGACCAGAGCCTCATTCTTTATATTTTAAAAAGCAGCTTAAGAGACTTTCCAATGTGAGTACCTAAAATCATCTAAAATTGGTACTCCAGATATGGAAATCAAAAAAATAAAAAATAAAAAGATTGGCACTCTCAATATTAAATGGGAAAAAAAGGTCATTTTGCTGTAGCAAGTTCTGAATGATTACCAACTAGAAAGCCAGAAAGTACAACAAATATATAAAAGATACTACCTTAAAAGTCCTCCACTTTTGCAAAATGACCTTTTTGATGTCTCCTTTTTTCAATTTAGTTATGGACATCAATTTAATTCTTTTATTATAAATAAAGTGGGCACTGATTCAAATATATCTAAGCATTTCGATCTCACATATTTGATGTCTCCTTTTTCAATTTTTAATCCCTTGTTAGTTATGTGTCGTACTCTACCATTCAACTTAGCAAAAGTCATGTATAATGAGCACAACCACTACTTGGATCGTGATTATAAAAACACATCAAATTCACAGCAGCTCATGATGCAGAGCTAAATCCTAGCAAGAACAAAAAGGTCATAGTGTCAAAAGGGAAGAAGGTATGAGACATAGTGTCATAAGAACACAAAGTCCAAGTGATATTGATCAATAAGCAACTTCTGACATGATTACAGAAATAGATTTTTTTATAACAGCTCTGGAAAGAAAAGCTAAATCAAGGTAGAACAAGAGATCTTCCAAGAAATTGATGGTTCCTAGTAATTGAATCTAGAATCTCCCTATTCCACTTTCAGTATAACAACACTTGTGGGAATGGCCTGATCTCAATGATTTACATAAAATTGATGGTCCCTGAGTCCAGAGTCATGTGAAAGAATTTGATGTATCACAATGCTGCCAGACCAAAGGCTAGATTCACACTCTGTTTCAATGACAAGACAGAGTGCTGACTATAGATAGATTTTTAAAATAGGGAATGCCTGTTTCTTTACACTGTCCCTTATGCCAGATACACAATGAATAAAGAGACCATTTATTTGTCTTCTGTGATTATGGGGAAGCAGCTGGGAAAAACTTCAATCCTGGAGAAAGCTAAGACATTACAGTTTCACTCTTGGGACCAATATATCAATGAAGTCATAATGTGTGCAAAAGGGAAAACACAAAGAGCTCAAATCTTCAAGATGATTTACTCTTGAGTTTGTGCATAGCTTGTGGATAAAAAGAAACATGAGAACTTTTGAAAAAGTTTGTCGAGACCCTGAAATTACTGCAAGGGAAATGGCTTATGTCAGCTGTGTTAGGGTCCCTCCCAGGATCAGTTCAATTATGTCTACTTTTCTGTTTTAGCCTGAGTATGGAGCTCTGTTGCTTGTATTTTCATAGTTTGGGTGTGTTTAGCCAACTATGGAGCCTGTAACTATTTTCATTAGTTTCATTAGTTACCCAATAAAAAAGAAGAGATCTTCCAAGAAGGTCTGTCTCACCAAGCAAGATTTCTTCTTTTTGGGTTATTCGATTCACATGTGGCTACAATGCAAACATTGCACATAAAAAGGACTAAATAAGGATCAAAACGTTTGAAACATATAGAGGGCTGATACTATAACTTTATATGGAGAATCAGTAAAGAAATATATCAAAAGTAGTAATCTTTATGCAAGTAGAAAAGCTAGAAACCTGCATTGTTCATGAAAACTATGATTCCTGGATAAGCAAGGCTTCTTAGGAGACTCTACAATTGCTATTTTCTCAATGGTGGAAATGTTCCCAACTGGGTCTGTGGTTAATGTGGGAGCCTGGGAGTTGATTGATTCGCTTGCAGGAACCACTATGGTGAGTACAGTTTGATCCACTCTTTCAGTAGCTAAGTCATGATTGCTGATCTCCGCACTCTGCTTTTCAATATCAGAAGGATCATCACAGTGGACGGTACTATCATGCCGGACTACACCGACATCTTGCATTGGTAACAAATACAAAAGAACCAAGCAAACGCGTTGCTATCCTTTTGCAACCCTTTTTAACATTCCTCCTATACAAAACAAGCTCAAACTCAATATAAAGCTGATAATTATTTTGTTCACTATACCCTATACCAAGTAACGAATACTCACCCAATAAATCTTAATCAAGTAAGCCATTAAACTAGCTCAAATCCAAATTTCAGTTTATCAAAAGTGGAATGTAATTCAGTCATTATTAGAACAGAAACCACATGAATTCTTTTTTGGTTTTCAATGTTCACTTACATGGACAAAACAAAGGAGTACATTTACCAGGTACCAGCACATGAACATGCTCATAAGCAAACCTAGTAAACCATGAACTAACTGATCCATCTTAGTAGAACCAAACAGAAGCAAGTAAGAAACGGAAATTAAACAAATAAACAAAAAGAAGATGTTTTGGACACCCATTTGAGCAAACCCACATCGAAAACAAGTAGAATGAAAAGAATAGAAATACCCATCTCAAAATTCTGCTGCAGTTACACAATTCAATCACTCAATTTTCATCCAAATCCCTCAATTAGATAAATTATTGTTTGAAATCGATTTTTAACTTAGAAGCAACCTATCAACCAAGAAAATAAAGGAAGTACAAACATTGTTAGGTAAAGATATAGAAATGTTGGCGCACGCACAGAGAGAGAAGAGACCTGAGACGGTAGCGGTGAGTCAAGTTGATTCAATGGAAAGTTGAAAATAGTTGTGGACCGGACGGGCACAAGTCATTTTTACTTTGCCCGCCGCGGTGGTTTAGGGAGCAAAGATACTGGGGAATCTTTTTCTTTTTTTTCTAGTTTTTCATTTGGAATGGTATTGAATTCTGATTAAATTCGAATTATTACGAAATATATTTAATAATTTCTTCATACTCCTAACACAAATTTGAAACTTCTAACTTAAGTGTGAAACAGTCTCTTTATTATACCATAAGATTAAGATTTTAAAATTCTTTTTGAAAAATAAATAAAAATTGTCACAATTATTATGAAATATGAATGAATACATATATGTAACTGAAATTGATTAATGTTGTGAATTTTAAAAGGTAAATTCAATGGTTAAACAAATATATACTAGTTAATTAGTCATTATAGCTATAGTTTTAGTTAATTACCACTAGCAATCAACCTCCATTGATAATTATGTGGGCTGGAGTTTGTATAATTCAGAATTATATAACATAATTTGTATGACCGTTTGAATTTGAGTTGTTTGTATTTGTATAAATTTGTTATTTCGAGTTTATATAAAATGTCAATGATACAAACTAAACAACTTAAAATGTAGATACAACTCGTAAATATGCAAACTAATAGCTATAAATCATAATTAAATTTATTATAATAATAGCTCTTTGCGAAAATTCCCCATAACTGATATTTAGGGTGTGTTTGGTATGAAGGAAAATGTTTTCCATGGAAAATGTTTTCCTGGAAAACAAGTTGATTTTTGACTTATTTTCTCATGTTTGGTTGGTGAGTAGAAAAAAAATTTCAAAAAAAAATTTTAGTGTTTGATTTATGAATGATTTTTTTTTTTGAGAAATATCTTTTATTTTTACTAGGGTAGAAAATATTTTTTAAAAACAAACTTAAATTTTTTTAGGGGTGGGGTGGGGGGGAGAGGGAGGGGTAGGGGGTGGGTTGAGGGTAGGGGTAAAAAACTGAAATTTTGAAGTTGAAAATATTTTTTTAAAAACAAACTTAAATTTTTTTTGGGGGGATGGGGGTTGGTAGGGGGTGGGTGGGGGGGTCGAGGGTTGGGGTGAAAAAATAAAAATTTGAAGTTGAAAATATTTTTTAAAAACAAACTTAAATTTTTTTTTGAGTGGTGGGGGGGGGTGCTGGTAGGGGGTGGGGGGGGGGCTGAGTAGGGGTAAAAAAAATGAATTTTTGAAATTGAAAATATTTTTGAAAAACAAACTTAAAACTATTTTTGGGGTGGTGGGGGGCGGGGCTGGTAATGGGTGGGTGGGGGGTCGAGGGTAGGGGTGAAAAAATGAAATTTTGAAATTGAAAATATTTTTTAAAAACAAACTTAATTTTTTTTTTTGGGGGGGGGGGGGGGCAGGTAGGGGGTGGGTGGGTGGGGGTCGAGGGTAGGGGTGAAAAAATGAAATTTTGAAATTGAAAATATTTTTAAAAACAAACTTAAAATTATTTTTTTGGGGGGTGGGAGGCTGGGTAGGAGGTGGGGGGGGGGGGGTCAAGGGTAGGGTGAAAAAATGAAATTTTGAAGTTGAAAATATTTTTTAAAAACAAACTTAAAATATTTTTTTTTGGGGGGGGGGGGGCTGGTAGGGGTGGGGTGGGTGGGGGGCTGGGTAGGAGGTGCGTGAGGGGGGGTCAAGGTAGGGTGAAAAAAATGAAATTTTGAAATTGAAAATATTTTTTAAAAACAAACTCAGATTATTTTTTTTGGGGTAGGGGTGGCGAGTAGGGGGTGGGTGGGTTGGGGGGGGATCAAGCGTAGGGGTGAGAAAATAAAATTTTGAAGTTGAAATTTTTTTTAAAAAACACTCAATTTTTTTTGGGGGGGAGGCCGGGAAGGGGGCGTGGGTGATCGAGGATCAGGATGAAAAAATAAAAAATTGAAGTTGAAAATATATTATTTTTTTTAAAAAAAAAATTGATGGAGGGGGGGGGGAGCGAGGGTAGTGGGTGGGGGTAAAAAATAAAAAATTGAAATTAGAAATATCTTTTTAAAATATTTTTTAATATTTTTTTGGGAGGGGGTGGGGGTAGGGGTAAGGGTGAGGGTGGGTATAAAAATTGAATTTAAAAACAAGTTTTAAATTATTTTATTTTTTTGGGGGGGGGGTTTGGTTGGGGGGCTGGTTTGAGGGTAAGGACAAAATAAATTGATTTTTTCAACAAAAAAGTAATTATAGTTTGAAGTTGGAAGAGAGTTTTGGAAAATGTTTTCCTTAAGTTTTGAAGGGAAGTCATTTTCCTTAAATTTGAGGAAAATGAGTTGATTTATAAAATATTTTCTAAAACATTTAATCCAACTAAACATGAGAAAATTGAAAAATGTTTTCTGAAAAATGTTTTTCCTTCGTACCAAACACATCCTTAGTGAAATTAATTAAGGTGCGCAAACATTTGCTCGGATACCCAAAAAGAACAAAAAAAAAAATAGAAAGGAGGGAAGGCAAGATGTAAATGGAGTGTTGTCATTCTCTTATAACTCTTATCCGCAACAACATAGAAGACATGAGCAGACTTAGTGTATGGGGCGGCCCATCGGCGAGCGTATTACCCATCGGCAATGAAAAGGTGTTCAGCTCCATTTGGCATTCGAGAAGAAAGGCGCATTTCACAAGGAAGACGATACGGAGCTGCGCAGCAGATTTCAAGGTGCTCACTTCTGTTACAAGTAATTATAATAACATTGTAATCCTCGATACTCCAGAATCACGAGTCCTGCTTCTCGATTCTTCCAGTATGTTCCTTCTCATCACTAATACTCATTCAATTTAACAAACAAGTCGGTTTCTGAATTTTATTTTTCTTGGAACAGATAATGTGCATAGCATCCTTCACAAGGGAACCAAATGGACTGGTGCATATTGGGTATGCCGTTGCTTCTTCTTCTGTCTCTTTTTTCAACTGCCTTCTTATTACCATCTGTATAGTGTCCTCATAGTTGTCGGATTCTCGGATTATTGAAATCAAAATGCATCGTTAGTGAGCATTCAACAATTCTGAGTTATGAAAATTGGTATCTGTCTGAGAGGTGTTAAATGATATTTGCCGGTAGTAATAACAAATCTCAGTTTCGTGTCCAAATGGCGTCAAACGGTGCGCAACATAAATTCAGGACATGACATGATGAAGACGAAAATTTAGTCAATCCAGCACGAGCAGGCAGATACACGCGGAATTGTACTTTCTGTTGTATGGTTTTGGGTTATTGATCCTGAGAGTTAACTGTACTATGCATATGTAGTGCATTGAGTCTCCTAATGTGGTACATTTTCTTCTGTTTGATTACCAGGATGAGTTTGCTAGCTTGCCGGCCGTTGTTCCAAAGGGCCCTCTCGCAATCTTTGGCTTGGTAAATTTAGGTTATTTTAAGGTTTTTTGACAAATTATCACTGATAAAATTAGTTTTTTAACAAATTCAACTTTGAAATCTTACTGTCTCTTTATGGGGATTAAACTGAGGTGCTGCTACTTCCTGCTAATTTTCAGGGGGGCGCAACTGCTGCACATTTGATGCTTGAACTGTGGCCTTCTTTGCTGCTTGTTGGATGGGAGATAGATGAAATTGTAGTAACCTCTCATTGTCATTTCTTAGCTTTTCTCCTTTCAAGAGCATATTTGTATTTTGATATTTCTCATGCAATCTTTCTCTGGTATATCTTGGACCTTGATGCATCACAATAAATAAAGGAAAATATAAATCTAGAGGAGTTATATAGTATGATGCTAGCTTCTGTTTCTTTTGTTCCAACAAGAGTAATGAGTTGTTCCAACTAATCCAAAAAGGAAAGAAACAGTACTGAGTCATTCCACAACTTTCCAGAGTCTTAAAATTAGTATTATACTGTATTATTTTATTGAGGAAGCACCTCTGTTGCATCGGTTATTTTATTGTCAAAACCATGTGAAACAGAGGGATGGTGGTTTGAAGCCTGACTTCTTGCTATTTTATTGAATAAGTGCCCTTTCCTTTACATTAAGATGCGTGCTACAGAGCCACTAGAAAGAAAATCCCTTTACAGTGCAAAACTTACGGAAAACAGTCAATCTACTGGGTATATATGGACATAGACATACTACTCCAATCCAAAAGAGTAGAATGATGTTGAAGTTTAGGCAGTTACAGGAATTCTAAACGTTGTTAGGTAGGGAGATCTCCTTTTCTTTTCTCTTTTTTTGAAAAAAAACTATGAGCATACTCTTTACAACAAGCTTAGCCAATGAAACTTATTCAACCTCCTTGTTGCAAGTCAATAAAAGGCACTGCATAGGGTCTGTGACTTGGCAACTGGCTAATTATGATTCAACATAGATAGTATTTTAAAGGCAATTGATGAACATCAAATGAAGGAACACTAAAGGCCTTAGCTTCTGCGAAATTAATATTTCCAAAACGAAAATAGGAAGCATAAAATTCCTTGTAAGAATATAGGCAGGATTAAGAGAAACATAGCTATGATTATTGAAATTCAAAATGTTAACAAGTCTAAAGTACCTTTCCAGCAGATTCAATAAATGATTCAATTGAACTGGCCTCTAATGTATTCAGGAATTGAGCTTTCACAAAATCATAATGCGCATGTGAGCATAATAGAAATTCCTTTTGGGTTCTCATCCATTTTTGGCAGCCCTTGGCTTTTCTACAGGTACTTGATGCAAATCAGTTTTTGATTGTTTCGTATGTTTCCAGTGCTTGCTATGAAAGGAATTGATCTTGTTCTCTAACTTATGTGGAAGTTATGTAGTGATCTTAAGTGACTGAAAGTTGCATGAATTCCGGAGTTGATTATCACATAAATGGCATAGACCTTTAGTGATATGTGTTATGCATCTCTGAGGAGGATATTATACTTAGATCCGCCTCTAATTTAGAAAGAAATATATGTGTGATGCGTTTAAAACCTCAAGTAAAGCTTATCGTGCATTGTTACCCTATTCAAGATAGAGTCCATGGTCGATAATATACATGCTTTATTGATTTAGTGCCTTCCATAAAGAGCCTCTAAGCGAGTTGAGCACCAAGCCTATTTGCACCTACTTTGAGGACTTAAGCTCTCCTCAAGCAAGCCTTCAGCAAATTTCATTGCAGCTTTCATGTATTATGTGATTTTGGGTTCTTGGTTGAGCTAGGCTACTAACATGTGCTAATGCAGAAAACATACCTATGCCAAAAGAAATTGCACAAGTTATAAAAACTCTATAGGTCGTGGAAGGAAAGAAGAAGAGACAAAACTATTATTGAAATTTGTTGGTTAACGACACACTAGAGAAACCTTTATATAGGAATTTTTAGTAACATGAAAAAAGAGAGCTTTCTAATTTGTGGGAATACTAATTATTATAATATTGTCATTTCAAGTAGTTTACTTTATATTCTCAATGATTCTCTGGACTTAAAACATCCCTTAAACTCGAGATGGTGAAGCAACTTGAGTTCACAAATCTTAAAGCTAAGAAATATTCAAAACAGAAGTGTAAACAATCATCCAAATAGTACCATTAGAATAATGGACAATCACCAGAAAGAAAAATGGTGCTGGAATTCTTTCCTTTAAAAGTCACTAATAATTGCAAATAATAGAAGTGGTTCTTGCAGTATGATAGAAAAGAATCAATTCTGTCATTGAATAATGGTGTTGTGACATACAATCTCCTTGATGTCATTGAACTAGCTTGAATTGGTGCTCAAGTAACAACTGGAAAAGTTTTCAGAAAACAGTGATAGGAAATCTTTTCAGAATAGTGACCATAATAAGTGGTGTGGTCAGAATATTTACCAGAAAGAGGTGCAGTGCTGTTGGAAGTTTGAAGGGCCACCTGAAAGAAGCTCTGACTGCTGGAATAGCCACCATAACACAATATTCTCAATGATTCTCTTTACTCTCAATAAATACATGATCATTTAGAATATTTTACACAGTGATGATATTTTCAGTTCGGAATTTTGTGTTTTGGGTATTGATCCAATAACATGGAGTTCAAGTAGTTAATAATGTCAAAAAAGGGATTTAATAATGTCATCTGGCACATAAAACTAAATTATTCAAGTCATTGTCCAATTCAACATAATTGATTTGTGAAAATGAGTTGGCTTTTCTCATTATTCCAGTTGATTGCAAAAGCAAGAGAATATCTTGGGCTCTCTGATCTGGAGAAGCATACTCAAGGTGGAGGTGTGTTGGAGGTTCATATTGGAGATGTATTTTCTTCATCTGTTACTATTCCTGGAGGTTATGCTGGTATATCACGGCCTTATTTCAGACATGTAATCCTTAGTCGACCTATTAATTGCTTTATGATGGAAGGGAAGTTCTTATCCTCCAGCAAATGTTTGTTCTTGCAGCTGGTTCTGCAGCTGAAGCATTTCAAATAACTTCCCTGATTTATCATAATTTTTAACATTTTTTGCCATGCATCCGAAGTGAGCATTCAGAAACTTCGGTATGACTTCTATCCGATGTTTACTTATATTCTTCTAAATAATAATTTCAGGTATAATAGTTGATTTGTTTTCTGATGGAAAGGTTTTGCCACAACTGGAAGAGGTATGCTCAAGTGCACAATTTTGATAGTCATGCATTTGTTGTGATTCTATTTTTACAATACAATGCTTATCTATCTTTTCATCAAACTATGTAGTTGATAATAGTATCTCTCTTCTGAATAATTACATGTGGATTTTCTTTTTGGCTAATAATAGAGTTGATGGTTGAATCAACCCATTTAGGCACCCGATTGAGAATGTGTTAGCTTCTGGATAAGTACTTTTTTGTAGTTATTTAGAGAAGTACTTTAAGAAATTATAGTAGCATCTCATCGTACAATTATTTCGCAAAGTACTTTGTGTTTAATATACAGAATTAACCCTTACGAAAATTTCTTTGATTTGCCCGGTATAGTCAAGATGTTTAGAAGCTGGTCGGGATATTACTGATATAAAAAATGAAAATCGATTTGATTTGACAGTAAAAAAAAATGTCAAATAGTACCTAAATATTGACCAACAGAAAAAAAAAACTTTATCTTATTATTTTTCAAAAAAGAAAGAAATTGATGAACAGAAGTTTCATCAGCTCCAAGTTTGAGCATCTTCTCTACTCATTTGTTGAAGGCTTTACCACAGCAAAAACGCTTCCAACATTTACCAAACACTGACTAGACGAAGTTTCGTTTTCATGCTAAAAGCACTACTTTGTCAAATGCACTCACAATGATATCTAGATTGATTGTGACTCGCAGATCTACTCTCATTTTTATCGATAAAGTAGATTTATTATTCACCAGAAAACCAAGTATTAAGGTAGTGCCACTCTCATTTCTCCTTTGCATGTCTTGTTGATTCATTATGTTCACCCTTGTGAATTTAGTGTTGTCAAAAAGGTTTCTGATTTACTCAATTGAGAACTTTTTACATTCAGTAAATGCAGGTTTAATCTCTAGTAATATCAACTTTAAAGCTGAATGGCCTCAATTTCTTTAGATATCAATATACGTAACATGGATTCAAGTCTAGTTCACTCTGCCTTACCTATTCATCTGACATTGGGATATATGTTAATTTTTTTGACACAGCTTTCCACAGTACTCTTCAGTTTTAACACGTATATGTAATGATTTCTTTCTCTGCTCTCTCTTATCTCATTTTGTGTTTTGATGTTGTGATGTACAAGGTGAATGTGTTCTTATGTTAATATTTCACTAGATAGATTCTTAAAATAACAGTTAAAGGTATGAAGCTTTGGCAGATTGGTTAAAGATGTTACAGTTATCATTCAAAGTTTACAATAACCTTTATTTTTTTGGCAACAAATGTGAAATTAAATGGAAGGAGTACTTTTGATCTACCTAGAAATTGTGAGATTCCCCAATTTGGTACTTCTTGAATAATATATGTGGGAAGATTGTTCCGAAATAGTGATGTACTTTGCTGTCTGGTTCCTTGGTGGTAGATTTCCAGGATCTAATGCATTTGTTTTGTCTTTCCTTAACAGGTTAGAACTTGGTTGGAGATGAATAATATGTTGATGCCCAATGGTCGTCTCATGGTGAATTGTGGTGCTGCTACCAAAGAATTGTCTGATACTTCTGAAATGATGCAACCAGATATTCCCAAAAGGGATGACCCTTTGGAACTAAACGCAACTATCAATGCATTATGCAAGGCATTTCCTGAGCAAGTAGGGTACTTGAATTCCATTTACCTTCTTTGCTTAGTAAAAGCAGTACAAAATTTTTATGGCCCTTTTGGATCCCAAACTGCCTTTTTTGTCTTTCTTCGTTCCAAAAGGTTACCGAGGGTTGGGAACCTATGAAACTGATACTTTAAGCCAGTGAAGTAAAGGAGGCTTTCAAAAAGTAATCTCAGCCATATGTAATTTAAAAGTGCCTTTATCAAGATATGCAAATTTGATGGAGAAATACTGTTAAGTAATTATGACATGCTCAGTATCCTATTTATTTTACAGTTTACACAGTGACTTGGCGTAGAAATTGAAACGGTGGTTTGCTTGAATGAAATTGGTTGTGGTAGAAGAAAGTTAAGTGAGTTTGCAAAAATAGTATGGTATATATACTTGTGTGCGTGTTGGACCTCAATAGGTTTGGACCAACTGTTACCATCGTCTGCACACCATATAGACCAAAAACCCATGTATCTTTGTGACCCAACAGTTCCAATAAAATTTACAATGATTTCTTGAAACATCTGTATAGTTTTCAAAAGTTGTGCCCTTGTTTTAGAAGGAATTCTTGACATTTCAAGTTGATCAAGGTATATGGGGGCAATGTAATGGTGTACCCTGTAAATGTGTGCTAAATTTTCTTGATATGTGCAATTGCATGGTGTGTATTGCTAGGAAAAGGCAGGACTTAAGTTACTGATAGTCTGCTCTACCTTGGCAAGAAACCTTCCAGAGAGTTCCACTGACATCATATCTTCATGTCATAAAATAAATTTCTTTATTTGCTATGAGCGCAATAAGAATACTTGTGTCTTTTGGATGTCGCTCTGCATTTTGCTGGCTTTACCTGCGATGACTAAAAAGTTTATTATCTGAAATGGCAGGTAAGCTGGAAAAAGCTGCCAAAGAGCGCAGGAGAAAATTATCTTGCACTGACAGGACCATTACCAGATTTGGATATTTGGTCTGCTCATCTCCCGGATCTATTAAGCTCAAGTGTCAAAGAATGGAGAAGTTGCACGCCTTCCCCTTCGTGAATGTGACATTGGGACTTGGTTAAGATGTAAATTTCCACATGCCAAACCATGCAGAAAAGGTAATTTGTGCCAATAAAAAATGTCCTTTGCAGATCCCTGTCTTCCTGTTGAGGAGTTCTTCCTTTCTAGGTCTTAACTTTCGCGTACGTGATTTTTTTATCAGAAGGAAAACAGGGGGATGCAGCCTTTATAGATTGACCCACAGGCAACCATCAGGCACGCCCTAGTCACCCTTTATCCATCTGACAGTGGCCTGTTTCTATCTTGATTTGCAGTAATTTCCAATCACTTCAGCTCTCCCTGTTGCATATTAAACGTGATGAATGTCACTGAGAGTCTGAACTCTGCTTTAAGTTAGGATACTACTTTGAGTTGTTACTATGTCATCACTCATCACCAATCGTGGAAAATCGTGATGATTTGGAACAAACCGGGCATGCTGTATTAATTGAACCCAACTTCAGGTTAGATAATTTATTTATTTATTTCAGCAATGATGATAATGTATGCTGAAATGTAGTTGTTGAAGCATGTGATTATCTCATCTAAATGTTTAAGTTATTAGAAAATTATATGTTTGCTATGACTTCGTGATTTTGGAGAAGAGAAAGTAACCTACAGAATTAGTTGCAAGGACTAAGGAGGATAGAAGGATTTAAGCGGTTCTGGTGCGACGATATTTAATAAACATCGGATGCTTGAACATTTTGTGACTAGATATACAAGTAGAAAGCTTCTTATTATCGTCACACATAATTTTAAGGTAGCATAAGTTCACACAGAGCAAATCATAAAAAGAAAAAAAAGGTCACAGACCACAACCAAATTTCTGCCTCTTCTTCTAAGTCATCCACACAAAGTGAATGAGAAGAAAGAGTGTCTATATGCAAATGTAAATTGTTTTCGATGGTGAGACTGAAAGTCACAGTTTCCTTAGTCCTCCACCTTTATTTTCAAGCACACAATAGTATTATAAGTTGGAACAACACCCTTCCTTCAGCAGACTAGCGGCGGAAGCTCCTAACCTGGCTTGGTGTCTCAGTAGTGTCATCTCCACGAAGTTTAACGAGCGTATAAACAGCTGCCCCTGCAATAGCCCCCAGAGTTGGAGCCACTAGATAAATCCACAATGACTTGTAATTTCCTGCTGCAACGGCCGGCCCCAAAGTTCGTACTGGATTCATGGAAGCACCACTTGACGGCCTGCTTATTCCACCAACACGTCAAAAAAACTACAAAAAAGAAATACTGGATTTGCTTGGGCAAAAACTAAAGTTCTAAGCCTAGCTGAGAATTCATGTCACAGTACTAGGCATGAATATATCATAATTGGAAGAGGAGTATTAATTTGGCTCTCTATCGGTTGGTTCTCTGCAACATTATTTGTAGAATAAGTGAAGTAAGTTTCTTCCCTAATGCAAGCTGCTGATATATGGTAATGCCCGAAGGATTTGTTTAGGTTAGTAGAGATACATTTTTGTAACCTGTATACTTGCGTGTTGAGATATTTTACTTACCCAGCAACTAGAATATTGAGCATAACTGTAGCTCCAACTGCTATGCCAGCCAACTCTCCCACCTGTTGAAAGAATTAGTAAATACTAGTAGTATGTATTTATTGGACGTGAAGAATCTATAAGGTATAAGTTGGTCTATACCGCTCTGGTGTCAGTTGCAACAGCAGTGACAACGAAAAGGAGATTGAATGTGATGAGGAATTCAAGAGCAAATGCCTGGCCAGTGTTTACTGAAGGGACAGTAACACCGCCAGACATGAACGGATGAAAGACACCTTTGAGTGCAAAAGAAGCACAAATGGATGCTGAAACCTGTGCTGCAACATAGGCTGGCACTTGAACCCATGGAAAGTGACGAAGTGCTGCAAATGCAATTGTGAGGGACGGATTCAGATGAGCTCCAGAAATATGGCCCGTTGACAGAATCACAATCATAACAGCCAGCCCTGAGCAAGCTGCATTCCCAATTAGAGATTCAGCTCCGTTGTACTTTTGGTTCACAATTGGCCCGGCTGTTGCAGCAAATATAAGGATAAATGTTCCCACGAATTCAGCTCCCAACTGTATCCATCACACACACATATGTTTTACATTTTAGGGTATGATAAAGTAGTTCTAACAACGAAGGTCAGAATTACTTGCAAGTTGAACTACTAACTAAAACAGTCATCAGCATTAGTTTGATATTTATTGGCACCACAATAACGTGCTATATTTTTGAAATTTTCCATTTTCATGAGAAGAATCTTGCATGTTCTCTATATCAAAGGAAAAAAAAAAGGACAAATGAAAGCCATGTTTTAGAAGAATGTGTTGTAAATCAAATTACTTCGCCCAAGAATTAAAGTAAATTGGGTATGCAAGAAATACTAATGAGTTTATATGTTCAATGGGTTGGTTCTCCGGGGTCAAATTAAATACCAGTTTATTTAAAAGGGCAAAAAATTAAATTTTTGAATCTTGAGGTCCTAAATTAAAAATATGTTAAATGTATCAAAATGTCTTTTAATTTTATGATCTTATACTTGTAGTATGGTCATTTGAAAAGTTGGAACTAAAGATATGTTAATTATATCAAAATGTTCTTTAATTTTATGATTTTAAGCATATCAATGCACTTACGTGGAAAGTTGAAATAAAGAAATTGCATAAAAGTAAAAATGTCAAATAGAGTACTTTTTAAGATGGACCAAAAAAAATATAATATCAAACTAATTAAAATAAAAGGAGTAGCATTTATAGGCAAAATAAGCTTTCTCATCTAATTAATTACTCTTTTGACTTATAACAGTGGTATCAAAACAGTTTGATAGTTGACCCAAGAGGAGTGCCTCATTGATTGAAAAGAAAAATATGAATGAAATTATTCGCTAATTGGGCCCTCTTGTGATGTAATTGTAATGGTTTAAGTAGCCATATTATGTACCTAACCCCCAACTTGATCAATAGATAGTACTCTAAAAAATATTTCTTCCCTAAAAAAAATGACCTCTTTTTTTTTTTTTTGTCAAAGCCACATTTAACATCATAAAATTGAAAAATCCTCTTTGTTTTTTTAAACTACATATCAAATTAAACTAATCATTATTTTTGAAACGGACACAGTGAAAAAATGCAGACATGAATGATTGATCTTAAAAAGAAATGTAGTACTCGCTTTGGTCCAATTTATGTGACTTACTTTTTTTTTAGTCGATCTAAAAAGGAATGATACATTTCTATATTAAGTAATAATTTAACTATAAAATATCTATTTTACACTTAATGAAATCATTTATAGCTACACAAATTTATATCATTCATTTTGAATTACAAGTTTTAAAAGTCTTCTTTTTTTTCTTAAGCTCCGTACCAAATCAAACTACCTCACCTCACGTAAAATGGGACGGAGGGAGTAAGTACTAAGTAGTAGTAGTGTACCTTTCTGGTGAGAGAGACATTTGGTGCGGGAAAGTCGACGAGACAGGTATGAGGAGCTCCCCATGTTGGAGCATCCAAAGGCAAGCATTTGCATCGGGGCATTGACTTCCGATCATAAGAACCCATTGAGTCCACTCGTAACGACGGGAATAACGGTGTTGGCGTCCCCGGCGTTGCCGGCGCCGATATCCCATTTTCTAATTCCGCCATCCTGATCAATAAATTTAACTTTTTTTTTTTTTTTTTTTTTTTTAAGAAAAAAATGAACTAGATTGCTTTCAATGGAGATAGATATTACATATTTTTTTTAGCTTTTATAAATGTTTGGCTACACGATATTCAGTGTTACAGCCAGATCGATAGATTGATCCAAATAGATAATCAGAATATAGCAACTGAAAGAAAAAAACTTTTTTTTTTGTTTTTTTTGGGGGAAAGGAGAAGATTGAAGAAATAGATGAAGGTTGAGTTACATGATTTAGAGGTTTTTTATAAGTGTGTAACTAAGGAATAGAAGAAATGAATATATCCAGCTTAATTATGCACTTATGAGATGGTGGCCATGGATCTGAACTAAGCCACAGTACATAACAAAAACCAGCTAAAAGAGCAAAAGAAGCAGAATAAGTAAACTCAGATTGCTTAATGAAATTGAAGAGTATGAAGAAGAAACACAAATGATTTTGGGTATTTCATATGTAATAATTAGTATTATATACACATACTTCTTAGCTATAATAATAATTAAAGTAAGTAAAAGGAGGCCGACAACCAAGAGAGGGAGAAAGAGAGGGAGAGAGAGAAAAGTCAATGGCCACAATGCTAAACTGACAGCCAATACTTTCTTCAAATGAAACTGTCATGAATTCACCAACAACAGATTGTGTGTAGTGTGTAGTGATTAGTACTCATTCATTCTTAATCAGAAGTTTTGAATTTGGATTCGGATTCCTATGAATATGATGTCGTCTTTGTAGTAGCGCTTTATCCTCTGATTGTGGAACTTTCTGTTATGAATCTGAATTTAGTCGCGTTTCAGTGTAAATATCAAATATAAATATCGAACATCGAGCAGTAAGTAAAATAAAAAACTGTCACGAATTCATCGGTGCCTGTGACGCACGAAGGCTTGTATTTGAGCAATTCCACCTTGTACCAATAATGCATTAAATTATTTGTGAAAGCCAAGTTGAACCCAACCCTGTAGAGAGAGGAAACTAAAATTATAATAATAATGCTAGGCAGAGTCAAGCTCAAGGTATGTATAACTATACAAAGAACTTGGAGCTATTATATGCCTTGCTTTTTTATATATATATAGTATTATAGTTATACGTTGCTGACTTACAAGCACCTTCAATGCAGCAACTCGTCTTATTTGACGAACATAGGTGGTGGTTTAGTGATGAGATTGTTTTATTTAATCAAAGATTTTAGATTCGAGCATTTAGTATGAAGAAAATTCTATTGAAAGTGTCACCACCGAATGAACTCTGCAATGTACAATTTAAATTTAGTTAGAATTCCAATATAGACTCCAAACTTTACGTGGAAACCAAAAAAACAAACTCATCTCATTTGCTTTCTTCTTATAATTTCAACCTCATCATTCCAATTGTCTTTGCCAAAATAACACTAATTCCTTATTTATTAACATCAAGTATGGATTTTCATATTTGAAAGTATTTCTTTTTTATTCTACTCGTAATGAATTGACTTTTGATCATGTGAATTTTATCATTATTTTAAGACAAATTTTATAATTGTACAAACGTTATGATTGAAATGGTAAGTATTATAAGTCATACAACTTTTGCTTTCTTTTTAAAATTTCATGCCAAATCAAACTATATCATGTCAATTGAATTATGGGATTGGAACTTCTTTTCAATTTTAGTAATAAGTTATTAAAATCTAATTTGTTTCTCGTTAAATATATATATATATATATATATATATATATATATATATATATATATATAAAATCTAGAATACCTAGGATATTGGGGAAACGTACTAGAGTTATTTTATCAGTCCAATAATTAACTAAGGAGTATTTTAAATAAATAAGTTTTTCTCCCAATAACTTTTAAAACAGTTGGAGAATTGTTTGATTAACAATCAATAATTGATAGAAACATAAATAATGACAAATTTGCAATATCGCATCGATCTAAAGGAGAGTGGATAGATGAGTATAGTAGGCTTCTCTTTTCGATTAATCATAGAGTAAAATATATATATATATATATATGGTATATTACCAAACCAATAATTATCCACTATTTCAATGCTATCGGTCTCTTTTGTTCCGGTTCTTTTCTGGCCATAGATATTTTTAAATATTTAGGGAAAAAATTGGTATATAGTGTCTGTCAATACAATTTATAATTATTTTTTAGAACATTTCAAATTTTTAAATACTAAGAAAAAAATTAATAATTGGGTCAAATTTCATTATTTGAGAACTTTTAAAAAATTTAAAATTTATTCAAACTTTTATATTTTATAAAACTATCCCGCCATTTATTAATTAAGTATGCATTGATATTTATAATGTGTTTGTTGTTATTTGACTTTCAAATATGTAATGGTATTATTCCATAGAACTTATTAAAAGTAATGTCAATATAAAAATTGGAAATTGTTCATAAGCATGTTGGAGCTTAATTATAATCTATAAATTTAATTTTTATCACAGAACATGTTCATAATAAAAAGATAATACAAACTTATAAATATTTTTTAATAGAACTTATGAGTATAAATTATATTTCACTAAAGGGACAAATATATTTTTCAAAATCTATTACCAAACACTAGTTTGCCACAGTATAGGAAGGGTTTGAAGTGGATTTTGGTATTTATATGTATGCATATGAAAATTATGTTTTTTTTTAATATAACAAAGAAACCCGCATTCGTTATTCTTTGGGTGTGCACAGTATAAAAATCTCGCTCCTATGTAATAGCTCACAAATCATACATGAAAGGTAATTTGTACCAGGCAAACTTGGTGCGACGAGCTGTTCTTGCTACAATAGTATATATGATTCAATTTGTATATGCTTCTCATTACTGTATAATGCGACCCCAAATATTTATTTTAATTTTGAATAAGTTAAACAATCATATTTTTTGCAGCTTAAATAATTGTAAAAAGTACTCCCTTCGCTTCCAAGAAGGCATACTCCATCCATTTTAATATATTCTTGTAATATAGTCCATTCATTTAAAAAAAAAACGATATTTCACATAATTAAAAAGACATTATTAATGTTCTTTCAAGCTTTATCCTTATTTATAAAGAGAGTTTCACATAATAAAAAAACTATTAAAAAACTGGAAATTACATCGTATTCAAGATATTTATTAATTATTCCTTATATCCAATAATAATTGTCCACTATTGACTTGACACATTCCTTAAGAAACAATAAATAATAGGGGTAATATTACTATATTATCCTTTGACTTTATTAAATTTAATGCTTTGAAAACGTATCAGGTGATAAATAATATTTAACAACAAGAGTAAAATAGACACAAAAGGTAAATTATCTCTTGATTTTCTAAATTAGACAGGTATTGTTGGACAACTATTTTTAATATAGTGGATAACTATTGTTGGACGGAGGGGTAAGAAAAAGTAAATAAAATACTACTCCTCTGTCCCAATTTATGTGACTTACTTTCCTTTTTAGTTAATCTAAAAAAGAATGACACATTTCTATATTAAGTAATAATTTAACTATAAAATGTCTATTTTACCCTTAATGAAATGATTTACAGTCACACAAATTTCTATCATTCATTTTAGACCACACGTTTTAAAAGTCTTTCTTTCTTTCTTAAACTCTGTGCCAAGTCAAACTACTCACATAAAATAGGACAAAGGGAGTACTAATTAATGAGTAATTTTGTTGAAATGGAGGGAGGATATATTATGACTTTGTCATTCGTCATGAAGCTAGCGTGGGTTAGGAGCAATGATTTTAACTTTTTAGGATCCCAATATATATAGTGATATGTTTAAGAACTCAAATTAAAACTAATTTCTCCATATATATGAGTAGCTTGTCAATCACAAAGGTTAAGCTCCACGGAGCACTGTTTAATTAGTATTTAGTAGAGTACTTTACATGATTCTCCTACACTAAACTCTTAACACAGAATACTTGGCCGACATTAATTAAGCCATGTACATCCATCTGCTAATTAAAGGTGTAATACCATAATTTATTATTATGGTATTTGTATACGGTATTAAGCAAAGTTCTCCCCATGTGCACTTCCTCTACCGCACATGAACTTTTATAGAAAATAAATAGTTTTTTCCTTCTCTTATAATCATTATGGTTATTTTGTGTAACCTTGTTCATATTATAAAACAAACATAAAACTTTCCCTTGTAATTTTTGAGAGTTAAATACCAATTTTACCCATTAATTAAATATTCTATCTTTCTTCTCCAAGACGAGAAGTGTTGGGTAGTGCCAATATTCTGCTTATAGCAAGGTCCACTAAGGGCTAGGGTGGTCCGTGTCAGAGTTATGATTGAATATGACGCTTGTATGGTAGACTTAGTTAAGAAATAAAGTTGTGCATTTGCTATGAGGGATGGTTTTTGGCATGATGGTAGCGTTTGATCCTAACAAGTGGTATCAAAGTCAAGGTCGTGAGTTTGATTAGGTGTTGAGAGGGGGATTGTTGGATAGTGCCAACATCCTACCTATGGCAAGGCCCACGAGGGGTATAGGGTGGTTCGAGTTGGAATCATGATCAAACATGACACTTGCTTAGTGAACTTAGTTAAGAAATAAAGTCTTAGGTTTCGATTCCCAAGAGTAACATTTTGCGTCAAGAAATAAAGTTGTACGCTCGATTCCCAAAAGCAACATTTTGCATGAGGCAGGTGTTGGGAGGAGGATTGTTGGAGAGTGTCAACATCTTGCATATGACAAGGCCCCCGAGAGGCTAGAGTGCTCAGAGTCGGAGTCATGATCAAACATGACGTTTACTTAATAAACTTAGTTAAGAAATAAAGTTACCTGCGAAAGAGAAAAATTGATTGTTAATGACTAAAAGGAAGAAGAAAATTGTGGAAGGATTAAAGAAGAAGAATGATTGCATAAGGGCCTAAGGAGAGATGGTGACTTTTGTGAGTGGGCGGTTGACTATCTAGTGGAAATCGGTGGTTCTAATTAAAAGGAAAAGAATAGAGGAAACAAACAAACAAACACACACTCTACTCTAGTTCATTTATCTGATTTCATGCAAAATGTGATTTGGTCTCTACATTAGAATCCGACTAAATTTAGATTCGCGCCGAAAAGTCCTACATTAAGAGTAAAGCGCGTCCTAACAAAGAAAACCCCGTAACCAGGGAAACTCGAACCTCAAACCTCTAATTAAAGATGAAGGAGTACTTACCAGTCCACCATAATTCTTGTTGGTCATCAATTTCAATTTCAATCATCAATCATGCATCATACGGCCAGGACAAAACCTAGTGGGAGCTATTGTTCAATACATTATAATGTGTTAACAATAATGAAAAGTTGACCCCCGGAAATTGAAGTAACTCTTCCATCCATTAACGAATGGCCAGTCAACAACATACATAAATGATGCATATATAGATATCATCATTGAATAATTTCGAGTGGTTAACATTTTTACCAAAATAATAGGATATAATCTTAAAGAATATTGTTGTGTGGTGAGTTTTCTTTTATCTGAGATCATCATCATTGTAATTGACAAGTTATTTATTCGACTTTATATATTAGTGTTGTTTGATCATACATGACATATATTATCTGTACATATTGAAGATATATACTAGTATAGTTTTCTTTGCATATGTTACGTGCTAAAAGTCATGTGCGTAATCAAGTAAGAGTTAGTGCGGAGCCAATAATTTCACAAAGGGTGTCCAGAAATAGCACAGAGCTCTTTTCAAAAAGTAGAATTAGTGAGATTCAAACACGCGAGCACTACCTCATTCCAAGGAGGTGAAACCACGGGATACAATAGCTTGTTATGTTAAGGGTGTCCAAAATATGTTATATAATCATTTCATGTATCATTTTACTTATATATATGGTATTTTTTTTCCGATACTAAAGGGTGTAGCCACTCATGAGTAAGAGTGATATTGTACCCAACATTATAAGAAGCAAAAAAATGGTGCAAGATGAAAGAGTATGAGCATGAATCGATCTTCTATTCTATTCATCTGCAATGAAGTTAATAATTCCAACTACAAGCAATAACAAGAAAGAAACTTAATAACCATACGCGAAAATATTGTGTGGTTGATCAGCTATTCTCGTTTAGGTTCACCAGTCCAGTAAGTTTTTACAGAAATAAGAATCTTCTCTGGGTTAAATGGTCCGCTCTCATGATCCACAATTCGACTTTGCCATCTCATACCGTCTGCAATACTTTTGATTTTCACTAGTACTTCTACTCCATCTCTGAATATAACTGTACCTTCAGGCCTCAATATTCTATCCATCTCAAGTAGAATATACGTGATATCACATCTTCATCAATTCAAAAAGAAAATCGAATTAATACTATGTAATTTTAGTAGTAACTAATTAAAATCAAAGATATAGCAGGACGCATATATGTACCTATCCTGATATAGGCTGATCAAGCCACCAGCATGAATGAGATCATAAGTTCGCGGATATGTTGAAAAAGCTTCACACCAGTCATTGTATGTACCAATAAAGCCTCTTTCATATATGATACCCAAAGTGTCTGGCTCATTCTTAGCAGGAACCACGTTCATTACCCAAACTGGATATTTCGAAAGAGCTGCTGCAAATCCACCTAAATAGGCATTTGCGTCCATCACATTTCTGTATCGTCCTTGAGGCAATAGACCAATTAGACGTTTGTAGTATGACACACGCTCATTCCATACCTGATCCATCCATTATTACATATCAATTGATAATGAAGTTCTATTTTTAAAATGATCGATTGTTCTTTTTCTATTACCTGGTTATCCTCCTTAAATTTCTCAACTGTAATGCTTGGTATGGAGCCAGTACTGATCCTAGGAGGAATAGCAAAGGCTCGTTCCGGCCATTTTTCTAATGCACCACCTGCTACTTCATCTGAGTTGGTTACTTCTGGTAGCGGAGTGATACAAGCTTCCATGTCTTGATACCTTAAGATTGAGCATAAATAATGCCATTCATGAGTTTGTTGATTGATAGTAGTAATTAATTACATTACGTACCATGCTGCATCGGCTTTGTTGCGTGACTTGCAGATAAATGGTGATTTGTTTTTGATACACTTATTGTGATTCAGAGGCTTTTGCCACACAGATAAATCACCCTTTTCAATCACTTTTTTCCAGCAAAGTTGCCTAGCAGTCTCTTCAATAGAATCCTGTTCTTTCTTCAAATCTTCTTGACTTCTTTCCCAACCTCTCCAATATGTCTTCCAACGAATCGGAGGGCCTGAAAGTACCCAATAACCTCCGGGACGTAGAACTCTGTCAACTTCAATTAGGTATAACCCATCTGCAATACGCAAGTGATTAATTAATTAAACTGTCACGAGTCATGACTAGCTAATAAAGAAAATTTAATATGTGTATCGAAGAGCTTACCGTACTTGTACCATGGAATCAAGCAACGAGAACAATGAGCCATATCAAAAGCCCTAGCTGGATATGGAAGTCTCTGAGAACCCATAACACCAATCATTGCTGGAACTCCTCTTTCAAGTGCAAACCAAACTTGTGCTTCATGTGTATCTCTTGGAGCAAATGACATAGCTATTATATCCCTTTTTAGTAGATAAGCACCCCAACTTGCAACCTATATTTATGTATTAATTAAGTATTAGATACAGAGTTTATAAATTAACTATAAGAAGATAGATAGATAAATTGCTTACACCACATCCTGTATCAATTGCTGTACGAATAGTTCCACTAGTAAGGGGAACGAGTTCACTTATATCATCAATGTAAGCATCAGCTCCGTGTGGAAACATGGTTCCACCTCCTGGAAATCTCAAACGATCACCTTCGACTTGGACCCAATTTTGAACAGCCTTCTCAATGCTAAGCTCTTTATGTGGTATATTCGCAAACCAAGCATAGTCTCTACTCTGTGGCCATTTGAAAGGGATTTTATAATTGGGTGGAGCAGGTATAAGACAACGTAACGCCTCTTTCTCTTCCTTATTTGGACAATGCCTCTCTCTGTATTTTAGCATATTACGATCAAATTTTCTACCCCTTTGTGGCTCTTGACATGGTGTGTATTCACTATACAACATTTCACATGGTGAAAAGTTTTCTAATGACTTTGTATTGTTTACCACTAGTTGATGATGGCTCTCGAAATCCATAGGAACTACTGATGATGATATTGACGATGATGATGACATATCATGATCACATCCAACTCTCGTGTACACTTCAGCAGATGGAGTTGGTCGTCTTCCATTATTCTGCCAAGCTCCTAGAACATAGAAAAAGATGCATAGACCACTAACACCAACAATCCAAGTAACTCGTTTTCTCTTCGATTCAAGCTGGTACAACTTTGGAGATCCACCATGGTCTTTTGCCATCGAATACCAATTTCTACCAAATTAATTTGACATTAATTAACTTAATTATAAGGAGTGCAAATTTTTGATACAACAAGTAAGAAAGAACTGATTTTGGATAGAGGTAATTAACACTTGAGCTAACAAGATTGATGAAGTTGAATATGAATGTGCATTAATTTTAAGGCCAGTTGATGGATACAGTTGAAAGGTTACTAAATAATAGGAATATAGGGGATGGAAATGAATAACAAGTTTACAAGTCTCCATGACTTGGTCTAACTAAAACAAATTAAAGGTAATGAGTGAATATCTTGGTTTATACAAATTATATGTAAATGTTTTTGGTGGACAGGTTGAAAATACCGTAACATCTGCCTCAAATGTCTCCTTACTTGAAAAAATAGGGGAAAAAAATGAGTAAAAATTCATCAACTAACACATACCATAAATTGAGCAAAAAATCATGGTTTCTTATTTCATGACATCGGCTTAAAAAAGTGGGGTGGATAATGTAGAAGTTATTTATCACTAGGTCATTACGGATGGGCTTATAAATTTTGGGGGAAAAAGAGTTGGTCAGTTATATTCTTAAAATTCATGAACTAACACACACGAAAAACTAAAAAAGTCTTGAAATCATGCTTTGTCGCCCCTAAATGCTAAATAAAGTGGCATTGATCATGTAAAGACTGTGTAGTTCACTAAATCATTACTGATAGTCCTATAAAATTTTGGGCAAAACAGAGTCGGTCGATCATATTCCAAAAATTCATGGATAAACACATGAAAAATTGAGAGAATCTTAAATTTCTTTTTCGTGACTCCTAAATACTAAAATAAGTGGCATTTTCAAGAGTGTCCATGAATAATAAATTAGCTATATGGTGGATAATATGGAAGGAAAGGAACTATTTTGAGCACACTAGCTTCAGAAAATCAGGATGAATTCGTCTTAGACTCATCTATTTTTGGTGTAAAGAAACATGTGGGGGAAGATAGGAGAACTGGTACATTTAATAGGAAAAGTGTAAGCTTTTTTGGGCGTGGAAGGTGTAAGTTTTTTGTTAGGTGCCCCCTTATACTTTTGTTTGTAAAGATCAGAACTCAGCCTCTTTTATAGCTGAGTTTTACTGTTAATACAAGTTGTTATCAATTTCAAATAATTAGTTTAGCGATATGCTTGTATATGTGTTAACTGAACTTAGAGACCTTGGTTCTCCTGTGATAGGACCATAAACAGTGCTCCTCCTGGACTTGATAATGACCGTGATAAGAAATTCTCAAAGGTAGTCTTTTTAGTTTGCACTGGTTGATTTAGATGCTGGATATATTGTGATGATCTTGCTCTAGAGTATGGTTCAATGCTTTTGTTCGTTTCATGTATGAAATCCAAAACTTTTTGATTCTTTAACAGTCTTTCAAGGAAATGGTTGCCATGTGCTTGGTGAAAGATCAAACTAAAAGGCCAACTGCTGAAAAATTGTTGCACTACATAGTATAAGGTGGGGGCCGAGCTGCTGAGGGTTCTGGGGCTAAATCTGATCATATGTTTATTAAACTATCCGCATTCATATAATTCAAAGAAGATGAAAAAAAAATCCCAGAATTCTAACCTGTACAATATAGGGATCAAGATATGCACAGGAATAATCTAAGTTGCATAAGTTAGCTTGTATATGTTGTATAGTTTAGGTATAATTTACAAAGTTAAAAAGTGGGTGCTCATTATGTTCTGTCTTCTTTCGGGTTCTCGACTGCTCTGTCAAGGCAAAGTATTAGGCTAGTTTTCAATCTTGATGAAGTTCATGTTGGGTAATTGTTCAGGGATTAAGTCTGACTTACTGTTTTAGTTTCCCTGGGAGCCAAGTTGCTTTTGCTTCTGACCAAAGTTTTCTTATGTTGAATCTAACCAGATGAACAGCAGTTACCCACCATCGTTTTCCCTTATCTTACCCAATTCCTTTTTCTACCACGTCTTCATGGTAGAACCGTATTTTGATTTTTGAACCATGGAATGAGTGGTTATTTTGTAATGTTAGGGGAGACTGCCAAAGAAGGTCATTCAGATAATGGTTTCATTTCTTTGAGGGTGGTTCTTTTGTGGTGTTCATGTATACCAATTTCTGCTAATTTGGTTATTGAAAGTAACTCCTTTCAGGGCACCTCTCTCTTTGTTGTATGGAATTACTGTTACCTGAGTTGTCTATCACTGGAGGAAGAAGCTTCATCTTTTTGGTGTTGCTTTATTCTGTGCGATTAATAAGCTGCCATCAGATTCATTTGACTAGGCTTGCACTGAGCTAAATGTAACTTTGATCTGTTTGGATGACATCTATAGGATGGAATAGCCCAGTGACCAGTCTGAGAAAGCCACAAGTGTCAAGTATAACAGATAAGCATGGATTGGAGTCCATTAACAGTACTACGTAGGTTAAAATGAAAAGTTCATTGCACAAAGAAATATGTAAGCTCCGTAGTTTCGTTTGGTTTGCATTGTTTGGTACTGATATTAGATGCGATGCTTTGAGCTTTTTTATCTTCCTTCTCTCAAGGAAGCTAAGTTGCTGCATGGTTGGCAGAAAAAGAAATTACATGAGACATGTTGGTGAAGGAAGGTGATCTTTTGCTTGATGTTCGTTAGATATGCCTTCTGTCGTGGGAAAATAGTAAGATAACACCATAAGAGTTTAGCAGTAAGAAGAGTTTAACTTGTTCATATATTTCAGATCAACCAGACGAAAACATGAAAGGAATGGGGAAAATAGGAAGACATAAGAGGAGGAACAACGGAAAAGAGAATATTTGTCCAGGACATTAGCAATGGAACTATGTTACTTCTCCCTTAACCTCTAATTAACCCTCCGCAATACCCCATACACAACACACCAAACAAATCATAACAGTGATTCTATCTTTTTGGAAAAGATATACCTTTTCCAAGATACATCTGAGTGAAGTAATTGATTGTTCCTCCAACTAATTATATCCCGAAAGCAGCAAAGGATATTATGGGAAAATATCTAGAAAGCCAATTTGGCCTCTTCTCTTCCCCTCCTGCATCATCAACATTGTTGGCAACTTCAATCTGCAGTGATTGTTGTTGTTGTTGTTGTTCTACCTCTCCCTCCTGTTCCCTTCCTGCACCACCAGCATTGTTGTCAACTTCAACCTCTACATCACCAGCATTGTCGTCAACTTCAATCTCTACATCACCAGCATTGTTGTCAACTTCAATCTCTACATCACCAGCATTGTCATCAACTTCAATCTCTACATCACCAGAATTGTCGTCAACTTCAATCTTTACATCACCAGCATTGTCGTCAACTTCAATCTCTACATCACCAGCAGTGTCGTCAACTTCAATCTCTACATCACCAGCATTGTCATCAACTTCAATCTCTACATTACCAGCAGTGTTGTCAACTTCAATCTCTGCCTCACCAGCAGTGTTGTCAACTTCAATCTGCAGTGATTGTTGTTGTTCTTCCTGTCCTTCTTCTTCCTCCTCCTCCTCCTCCTCCTCCTTCTCCTCTTCCTCCTCCTCCTCTCCCTTTTCTTGTTTCTTTTCCTCATCCTCGTCCTCTCCGTCTTCTTTGTCTTTTTCTCCCTGTTGATCAGTTTATTGACAATCCTCCTCCAGGATTTCCGGTGATTCTTCTTTTACCTCCTTCTTGTCCTCCCTTTTCTCTGTTTTTGTACCTTGGGAGATAGTACCTTCAGAAGATGACGGGACCCCAGTGGAACTTGTTCTCCTTATTGTTGGATCAGCCATCTCCAACAAAGACTCACTGTCATGAAGCTTGGAAGAAGCCCACTCCACTACTGACTGCTCTCCTTCTGGTTTTGAACTACATCAGGAACAAGAAAAAAAGAAACATCAGCAGCAAAACACAAAACGCAAGCAAAAGTTTATCCTCATCCACCTTACAACATTTGTAGTCATAATTACAAAGTAGTGAGCCATGGTGAAAAACCTATTGCAGGTGTCCAACCAGATGAATAGAAGGTTGCAAGGACAAACAAATCAAGTATCATGTACTTACTTCAATGCTCGAGCAATGTGGATTCGGAGGCTCCATGTAAGAGGCATGCACACTACATGGTTCAAGGCATCATCAAGTGTGACATTCCTTATGCACTCATACACAAGGAAGTGGTTTCCATGCCCCACAGAGTAGCTAACAAGTGAAACAATAGGGTGCTTCAAAGTGGATGCGATTCGCATCACTTCCATAAATTGTTCTTCCTGAGTTATAGAGAATGCAAAATAAAGAAGCAGCAAGCAAGTAAGAAAACTTCTTTGTTAATTGCAACAAGTACTTAAAAAGATACCTTTCCATGAGGGATATCTGCTCTATAAACAAAAACACGTGTTCCTTCACCAAACAGATTAACGAGACTGAAGTTGCTTGTGGCCACTATATATATAGAGTTTGGCACATACTGGGATGATTTTGCAATTGAAACTTGTTGTTTTTGACATTTGCCAAGAGGAAATCAGTGAACTGCTGGCGAAATCGAGGCTATCGTATTGAGCAGCTAAAGAACCTATTGTGGAATTAACAGTTCTCAGTAGGGAAAGGATAACACACAGCCAAGAACATAGGAAAGATTCACTGCCTGTTTCAGTAATAAACAAAATGAGAAATACTCTACCCTTGGGATGCACTAATTAGAAGAGACTGCAATGAACTCATGCTCACGAATTAATTCTTGTTCACCGGTTACAGTCGTTAGAGATCCAATCCTGATTATTACGAAATACATAATTAAGCTAATAATCAAATCAATCCTGATTATTACGAAACACATAATTAAGCTAATAATCAAATCAATCTAGATTATTACGAAATACATAATTAAGCTAATAATCAAATTGAAAGTAGACCATAAGTTGTTAATTGAAAGTACTCAATGATGATCATCATCAATATGACAATCTTAGGCTGGAAAATTTAAACAAAAACAAAAATAAATAAAAAACAGCCAAGAACAAGAAATATATAATCTTACTTCGTTATACGATTCTCCAGAATGCAGTTTTCTGCATCAAAATAACGATTGTCAGAACTCCAGGATCAAAACAAAGTCTAAAATACCAAATAATTGATCTTACATTCTCTTTTCAAGTGTAGTGAGACTTGATCCTTCAGTTTACTGCAAAAAAAAAGACAATCACCCAGAAACAAAGAAGAACGAATAATGAAAGTACATAACAATTGAAATGATTTTGCTCACAATTCGAAAAAAATAAAATTGGAAGCAATATGCATACCCAGAAAGAGTAAATGAACTATCTCGTGACAGTGGAAACAAAAAGTAAAATATAGTTTAATAGAGTAAACGGTTATGGTTAGTTATAACAGAAAAATGTGAGCGCGGGAAAAGTTTTTTCCTTTCTTACTTAGTTATGTCTTGTATTTTATTTATACATAATAATAAAATATCATTTGCTTTTTAGAAATTAATTTCTTATAATTAAAAATGGGGTTATAATTGCATAATTAATTAAGACAATCAACCTTTGGATATCCGCATTTTTTCAAAAATAAAAATAAAAAATTTTAAAAACCCGTCGTCGGTAATTTCTAATATCAAATTTTTTATTTCGAGTTTGGTTTTGGCAACTTTTTTGGTGTTCCGGGGATGAATTTTTTATGCAATTTATGGTGCACATGAAAAATTTCGAGTTTGGTTTTGGCAACTTTTTTGGTGTTCCGGGGATGAATTTTTTATGCAATTTATGGTGCACATGAAAAATTTCGAGTTTGGTTTTGGCAACTTTTTTGGTGTTCCGGGGATGAATTTTTTATGCAATTTATGGTGCACGTGAATTCATGGATTTTCTATAAAATTACATATATATATATATATATATATATATATATATATATTAGAATCGAGCTAATATTATTGGTTGACACTTATGCTATGAAAAAACCTAATGATTGACTTGGTTTAAAGTAATCAACTCCCACTTGATACATTTTTTCTCATTTCATTGGTAGTGCACTCATATTCTAGAAATTCTAGATTAACCTCTGCCTACTCCCTTCTCTCTTATAAAATCTATCATATTTTTTCAAATCTTGAACTTATGAGAACAACGTATTGTTGTTAGTGAAGCTAGAGAATAGATGTAGGAGAGACAGTTTGTCCATAACTGTCAGAACTATATTGTAAATATTTGGTTGTTCATGAAAATGTCGCTTAGCCAAAAAAAAATAGACTCATGAAAACAACATGTAGATTGATGCATGGTTTAGGGGTGGTCATGATTCAATTTGGATCGATTTTTAATTTAAAAATGACCATATCAATTAAGTTGATTTTTTCGATTGTTATAAATAATATTGATTGATTTTTAAATAATGATGTGATCTCTTGCAAAGAAATTGCACGTGGAGTGATCTTCAATATATTTAGAGAATGAAAAAGGACCCTACAAATTAAAGAAACCACAAATGAAAGTTAAAAAATATATGCAGATCAAAGAAATTTTATTTATTTTCTTTCATCGCTAAATAGAATAACCAAATGGAGCTATCATATTTTTTCTGTGAATCGACCTCAATAGATGCCTCTACTTATTGATGTTGCAGTTGAACAAATGAGTTAACAATTGCTTCTCAATGTAAAGAGGAGACAATAAATATATGTATTTACAGTTTATTTAGTACTTTCTAGTTGTCTAGATGTTGTAGTTGAACCATAATTATTCTCTGCAAAGTTATATAGTTAAGCCAGCATATACTAATTAGATATCATAGCTATAGTTTAAGTTAATTACCACTCGCGATCAACATTCAATGATAATTGGAAAATCATGATAATTACGTGGGCTGGGGTTTCGAGTTTGTCTAATTCAGAATTTGTTTAGCTTTTGTATAATATAATTTGTGTACCGTTTAAAGTTCTAATGTTTGTACTTGTATAAATTTATTATTTCGAGTTTATACAAAAATAACTCAATTATACAAACGTATCGGCGAATTACACAAACCACCGAATTATACAAACGAGACAACTTAAACTGTAGTTATAGCCCACAAATATGCGAACTATAACTATGAAGTATAATTAAATTTATTAGAGTGATTATTTGCGAAAATTCTCCCTTTTTGCTCTCTCTCTCTCTCTCTCTCTATATATATATATATATATATATATATATATATATATATATGCTCACACACACTAGATAATTGAAGGCCCGTTCACAGGCCCAATATAACTAATTATTTGGGAAAACTAAGCAAATACTCCATAAAAGCAAAATAATTATAAACATATAACCCTTTACATTCATACCCAGTGGCGGATTCAGGATTTTCGTTCAGGGGGTTCGAAAAATAAAAGTATAAACGTGTAAATAAGCCTTTAGAAATGGAAACCTTGAATTCTTTTGGGTTTAAAACCAAACTTTTAACACATTTTTTAAAGTAAAAAAAAAAACTAAAAAAAACTGAAACTGAAAAAGAAAAAAATAAAGTGCTATCATTAGGATTCGATCCAGTGATGTACAACTTAGTTTCAGGGGTATTTGCCACTGCACCATCAGTTTCTCTTTGTTATTGAGGGGGTTCAAAATATATATATCTACAAAAATACAGAAAATTTACCTTATATATATCGTGTAATTTTTGCCGAGGGGGTTCGGGTGAACCCCCTCGATACCACATGGGTCCGCCCCTGTTCATACCCCACTAAATAATTACACTATATACCTCCCCCTTAACTAATTTCGCTTAATTGATACTAAATCAGTATTATATACTATATTGGTATCATTAAGGTTGATAATTTCGCTTAACTGCTACTAAATCAGTATCATATACTGTATTGATATCATTATATCATTAAGGTTGATAATTTCGCTTAACTACTACTAAATTAGTATCATATACTGTATTGATATCATTAAAGTTGATAATTACGCTTAATGCTACTAAATCAGTATCATATACTGTATTGGTATCATTAAGGCTGATAATTTCGCTTAATTGATATTAAATCAGTATATATATACTAAATCAGATGGTTTCCTTTTCAGGTATGTTTCTGATGGACTTCAAACACATATATCATATATGCTCATTCAATAGCAGAGGGGCTATTTTTGCTTTTTGCTATTAGAGAAGAATAGAAATAGGTGAAGTGTTATCAAAGTTGCACTTTAGCCAAGAAGCGAGATGCAAAACATATTAAGTGCTTCACCTTGCTTAATGGGTTAGTGTCGTCATAAAAGCTCTAAGACATATACTTTTCATTGCCAATAAACATAATCATGAAAAAAGTGAAACTAACCATTAATATTTCTCTATCCATGTATTTGTTGTTCATACTAATTATAGTATTAGTCTTAGACTAAATACATAATGGTATCGGGTGATCTTAACTTTTTGCACTCAACTCCTTGTTGCACTCAAATAAGCTACTTAATGAAAATTTGTGGACAAAAGTATCTTTGTCTAGGACCTAATTCACTCGACATAAGTTTAAAGAACTGTTGTCTCGCTTGACATGAGTTATGAAGGAATTAAGTTATGCAAGAAAAGTTTGTAGTATTTCTATGACCTATTTTGCAAGGCAAAATAGTTTGGTTAAAAATTAAATTATGCATTTTGCGTCATAATATATGAGTTCCAAAACTAAACTTTTGTCTTACTTATGCCGTACAATATAACATGCTATGCCTTATACAAAATAACTTATGGTACGTTATAATACGAAAATACAAATTTTTGTCGAGACAAAAAATATTGTATTTGTTATTAGTGTAAAGTATTTTTGGCCACTTTATTTTTTTCTTAAAGTATTGAAGAACAAACTCGAAAGACCATTTTGAATCTACCATCAAACATAAGTGTTATTTTTATTATTTTCTCTCACATTTTAGGTTGGATTTTAACAAACTTTTGTGAAAGCTAAGATAAATTTTTGAATAATAAACACAAAGTTGATGACCAATTTACTTCCAAAATAGGGGGCATTTGTGTAAATGACGAGTCAATTTATTAACTGTAACACATTTTGACCCGCCACATTCGATCCAATCTGCCGGAAACCATCATCATTCATGAGTACTCTGTCTTCCCCCAATATAATATCCAAAAATTAGCTTTAGGTCTACATTTCTGTTAAGGCTGTAATTTACTTTTTGTATTGCCTCATCAATGGCTAACTCCAGCGAAAAAACGGAGGGGTGTTTGAGTACGTTAAACAGGTGTTTTAATAAGATAATAGATATGGAGGAAGTAACGAATCAGTCAATGATTTCATCGTCATTGATTGTTCTATTGAGTTGTTTCTATTCCATCAATATTGTTTCTGTCATGTTTGCTGGCAATCTTCAACTAGCTGCCTCGAATCTCGCTACTTCCTGGGCTGTAATCACTGGTTTCTCTTTCATATTTGGATTGAATGCTGCAGTCGAAACATTATGTAGACAATCCCCAACAACAACGTACACTTTGCTGCAGACATCATGTAGCATATCATTCTTCTTTTCAACCGCCATTGCTCTTCTCTGGTGGTATTCAGATACAATTCTGATTCAATTATTTCATCAGGATCATGAAATTGCTAAAGAAGCAGGACTGTTTTTGAAGTTTCTTATACCTGGATTGTTTGGATATGGTCTTTTGCAAAATGCCATGAGATTTCTTAGGGCACACTCAATTTTAGACCCTATACTTTTGTTTTCAATGGCATCTTTAGTTATACATATTGCTATTATTGCCTATGCTTTGGTTCATTGGACAGGTCTTGGTTTTAAAGGAGCGTCATTAGCAACATCTATTTCCATTTGGATTCAACTCATCATCTTTTGTCTATTCATGTTTTTCTCCAAACATATCAAATGGGATTACGCTTTCTCATTCGAGCCATTTCATTTTCAACATATCCTTACTAACTTGAAATTGGCTTTGCCCTCTGCTGCCATGGTCTGGTGAGTAACGTACATAGTGCTCGATCTATTACTATTCTTTCCTTCTGTATGTTGTGTACTACTCTTCTTTTCGTTCTATGGTAGTAAGGTTTGCATACACTCTACCCTCTCCCCTGACTCTACTTGTGGGATTACGTTGGGTATGCTGCTGTTGGTAATGATGTACATGTATATACGCAGTTTGGAGTACTGCGCTTTTGAGATTCTTGTGTTATTGGCTGGTTTGATGCCAAACCCGGAAACATCGATTTCCATAATTGCAATGAGGTAAAAGCTTCTTTGCTTTAGACCATAAATCACATCTTCACATTCATCAAGGCTGACAATTTTTTTGGTTGCGACTTTTCAGTGTAAATACCCAAGCCATTGCCCACATGTTATTTTCCGGTCTGAGTGTAGGTGTAAGGTAATCTACCATGCACGAATATGAGTTTGACTTTTATACATTGTCCGGGAGGAATAAATACTTACATAGTTATATTCTTAAGATATATCTCTATGACAAGTTACCAAAAAGATAGCAGGCTTAACATGCATATATAATGTACTAGGAGTAACAGTTACTCCCCCTGTTTTATATTTTTTT